TTCTCCCAGATATATTTAACAAACTAAAAAATTCTGAAAAAAAACACTGAAAATCAACGAAAATTCAAATTTCGCTCGCTTTTTCCTGCAAATGGCCTAGTGAACCCCCGCAGTTTCGCTCGGCCACCAGATACAACTTTGACTTTTTGATGCCGTTTTTCTCAATGTAGGAATTTTTCTGATTTTTTTATTTATTTTTACGGGAGTCTACATAGAATTCTGCACAAAATAAAACGATAAAAATTTTCGACTGTTGTGAACTGTGGAATGACTCAAGTAAAGTATACTGTACCTTATTCAAAAAATTGTATTTTTCTGGAAATCGTTCTATCAGTTGGCAGCTTTTTGATACCTGTCATACCGCCTGATATAATTGAGGTCAAAACTACATGCGGTGTCAAAAGACAATTTTTAAAATGTGTCGAATTATAAAAAAAGCAAAAAATCACTTCGAACAAGGTACCCTCTAATAGATAATTTTCATCCAATTTATTACGATTCTTATCAGCGATATCAAAAAGTTGTGAATTGATAAATTGTTTATCACAATATCACAAGTATTTTACCAGTTGGCCTCTTTTTGGATACTTTATCAGGAAACGAAATAAATCGAATTTAAGCTTGGGAACACTACTTTCAATTTTTTTTTGAAAAAAAAATTGTATGATTTCATTCTCAACGAAAGAAGTCTCAAAAATCTATTTTTCAAAATTTTCCAGGCTCTGTACTTTCCAATCATCTACCGCAAAGTGGATCATGTTCAATGCTCGAATATCCTCATGATAATCTGCATGTTCATCGGTGGAATCGACGTCGTAATGAGCACTTGCTCATTTCATTTCGAACCACGAGTCAATTGCTCTTCTCTTGGCTGTTTTGTCAATGACATCTTTCGTACCTACTGGGGTACTTCGAACATGGTAAGTACTGTAAAACCTGTAACAGAAGGGACTCTTAACTTTTAACTTTGAGCCAATTTATCTCGGTTTCTCTGAGAGATATTACAAAAGTGATAAATTGATGAATTGTTTATCACAATATCAGAACTTTTTATCAATTGACTTATTTTTGATATCTTGCCCAGGAATTGAGATAATTAAGCTCAAAGTGAACGTATATGGTGGACTTCTATTAAATCAAATAGGTATATCTGGAGTGCCTGAAATTTCTTCTGTTTTATATGTCACAAATTTTCAAAATTGTCTTATTTCCAGGCCTGTGGACTTGTGGTAATCGTAATGAGCTTATTCGTGTTTATCAAAGTTCAGAAGCTCTCCCGGGAAAGTGGATGGATGGGCTCAACGCCGGCAGAAAGGAAGCAAAACATGGTAACGCTACAGTATAAGTTGAGTAGAACATGTGTTTGTCATGGCTGTAGTTTGTAGCAGCATTCCAATTTTCAAAAATCACAGACAAATTACTTTTCAGGCGGCATCTCAAAAATTTACTCAAGCCAATCGAACGACATGTGGAATTTTGCTGAGCTCCTTGTTATGTATGACCATCCCGTCCCTTTTGGTTTCTTTGGTTGAAACGATTACCGGATTTTCGATTTTCGAAAAGTTTGGAGCCTTTTATGTGGCCTCTCTTTTGACTAATGGTGAGTTCTGATCCATGGATCGGGAAATCAAAAAATCAAAAAAACGTTTCGGAAAAAAAACTAATTGAGCAAAAAAACAAATAAGAAGAAGGAAGAAAAAGAAGAAAATATGATTTCGGAAAGAAATACTAATTTGTGTAGAGCTATAATTAGATTTTGTTTTTGCTTCAGTTGGTCAAGATGTTATGATGTTTTAAAAATATGACTAAACCGTCGGACCACGAAAATAAGAAACTAAGAATTTTAGGATATCAGGATTTCAGAATCTCAGAATCTCAGAATCTCAGAATCTCAGAATCTCAGAATCTCAGAATTTCAGAATCTCAGAATCTCAGAATCTCAGAATCTCAGAATCTCAGAATCTCAGAATCTCAAAATCTCAGAATCTCGAAAACTCAGAATCTCAGAATCTCAGAATCTCAGAATCTCAGAATCTCAGAATCTCAGAATCTCAGAATCTCAGAATCTCAGAATCTCAGAATCTCAGAATCTCAGAATCTCAGAATCTCAGAATCTCAGAATCTCAGAATCTCAGAATCTCAAAATCTCAGAATCTCGAAAACTCAGAATCTCAGAACCTCCGTATTTCGAACTTCTCGTTTCCAGGTGCCGCCAACTGCTTGATATTCCTAATTCTCAATGGACCTGTAAAAAGTAAAATCAACACGAAAACTTTATCGGATGCAGTTACTACTGTAGCCTCGTCGAAACCATACAACTCCTCCAAACAGACTACTTTTGTTGACTTGACCTAATTTTTTTTGATTTCAAACGAATAAACATTTTGATCTTTTCCTATTTTTGAACTTTTTGCAAGAATATATATTTTTGGGTACACTTTTTGATTTTTCAGATTATAATTTAGACATGCAGTGATCTGGAAATTGAGCCACAAAGTCTCCAGAATATTTTTTTCTGATTTTCTGATCACTTTATGAAATCTCTGAAATTCTGAAATCCTGAAATTCCCACCAAAAAATGATATTGAAAAATATTTTTTTGACTCATTTTCCTGAATTTTCTGTCAGTGACTAATCCTCTACCACAATTTTCCTAGATTGTCTACTTACAGAAAAAATTAACCCAAAAATTCAATTAAATCAGCGGAGGTAGAGTCAATTTAATAAATCAAAAGTGTAAGGAGGAAATATTGCCATACGTGAGGATGTCGACTTCCAAGCCTTACAGGTGGGTGGTGTCTTTTTTATTAAATTTCAAATTAATTACAGACTTAATTACTCTGAAATTTTCCTTTTAATTGTCACGTAGCAAAATTTCAAGGAAGTAAGATGAGAAGTCTTCTTAAATAGACAATATTTAAATTTCCCGAATCTTGAAGATGTATCTCTGTACTAATTTGCATAAAAAAGGAAGAAAATGTAGAATAGGGAATTCTGAATAAAATGATTTTTTGAGATCGATTCGCAATTGTTTTCTCTAGAAGTTTCAGAATTTCAAAAAAAATTTCCATTTTGTAGAAACTGTCATCTTTCCTAATTTTCACAATTTTATCTTCTTCAATTAATATTCAAAAATTCAGAAATTCAGAAATTCAGAAATTCAGAAATTCAGAAATTCAGAAATTCAGAAATTCAGAAATTCAGAAATTCAGAAATTCAGAAATTCAGAAATTCAGAAATTCAGAAATTCAGAAATTCAGAAATTCAGAAATTCAGAAATTCAGAAATTCAGAAATTCAGAAATTCAGAAATTCAGAAATTCAGAAATTCAGAAATTCAGAAATTCAGAAATTCAGAATTTCTGAATTTCAGAAATTCAGAAATTCAGAAATTCAGAAATTCAGAAATTCAGAAATTCAGAAATTCAGAAATTCAGAAATTCAGAAATTCAGAAATTCAGAAATTCAGAAATTCAGAAATTCAGAAATTCAGAAATTCAGAAATTCAGAAATTCAGAATTTTTGAATAATTAAATTCTGATAATTCATAAATTTGAAAAGGAAGGGCTTCTAAGCGTGTTGATAACCAAAAAGTGTTGAAAATTTCATTATGTATTGTACGAAAATTCAAAAATCCTTACCTATTCATTCAAGCTGTCCAAAACAATTTCCCAAGATTCTCAAATTTCATTAAACTTTTTTTTCTTTGTTCAGCGAGAAACTACTAACACGTTTCCTTAGAAAAATTAATTAATTCTTTGATCCGTTCATTTTTTTAAAACTCATGTTCTGTTTGTTCAGTGGGAAATTTTTTCCATGTTTTTCTCAAAGAATTAGATGCATAATAAGCAATGTTTGTTTTTTTTTCTAAATCTAAAAATAGAGTTAAATTTTTTTCAATATGCTGGGAAGCTTTCTTCCATAAATCAGACCAAAGATTCTGAGTTCTAATTGCAAAAATTAAAAAAAATACTCTGAATTTTTTATCGAGCTTGATCCAATCTAGTCCAATTAAAAGAACCCGAAAATGCTCAAAAATATATATTTCGGTTTTCGTTCCAGACCATTTGACTCATTTTTTCCTCTAACCTAGTTATCTCAGGATCCAATTCCAATTACTTCCCCACCGTTTGCTAAATTACACATTCCCATTTTTCCACAAAATGTGAGTATTTTTTATCCCGAAATGAAAGATCCCTCCCTCTATTTGACCTCTGTCCTTCTATGCTATCCTTTGCTTACATCATCCTTCTTCATCTTTTTTCATCAATTTTCCCAGCTCATTACTAGTCATAAATATTCATACGATTCCATTTATTCATTTGAGAAACAAATTGAGCAGAATAATACAAAAGGAAGATGAGCAAGAGATAGTTCTTTCAATTTTTGAAGGTTCTTGCTTTTTTTCTTTCTAATTTGGAGAATATACTAAGCCAACCTCCGAAAATATTTTTGAGAGCTCAATGAACAGTTTTATCACTGTCATATAAAAAATTCCAATACATCTTAAATTGCTTTTACCAGGTGCATTATGCGGTCGGGTTGGTTTTCTTTGTTTTTTGCTCTTTAAATGCCCTAAATGATCATTCGTGGAGGTAATTCTCAAGGCTATTTTTTATTGGATCCAGGTGTCAAAAATCGTTTTCATTGCGTTAGTGACATATGCCTTTCAATAAACAGATTATAAGTTGCTTCTATAGATCAGGCCTGTGCGGCAACAAATTGCCGATTGCCGAATTTTTGTCGCCGATTGGCCGTTGCCAAAATCGGCAATGAAAAAAAAATTGCCGAATTGCCGTTGCCGATTTCGGCAAAAAAATTTCGGCAATTTCGGCAACTCGACAATTTTCTGACAGTAGAGACTTTTTCCAATTTTTTCAGTCAAAAAATGATTTCGAAGATCGAAAAACATTTTTTTTGAACACATTTTCCCTCAGAGTGAGTTTCGGAGGAAATGTGCCCCAATAAGCACCAAAAAAACTTGCATATTGTCGGAATTATAAAACTGTCACCTCGGTGTATGCAGACTCAGTGAAAAACTCTGATTTTTGTACTGAGTCTGCAGACACCGAGTTGACATTTTTATAATTCCGACAATAGGTTCTAAAAATGGGCTTCCAAATTGTGATCATAGGAGAACAGATATCTTAAACGATTGGAATACTCTCGCATGCTAGACAGAAGCAGTGAGCATGGAAAATGTTGTCCTGAGTTGAGATTTTTTACAATTACTTTGTTAGGGAACTCATGACACATTATTTTCTGTAGTTTTGAGCCTGATTGGACCATTTGAAAGACACAACACTTTTGTTGCCGAAAATTGCCGAAAGTTGCCGATTTTGCCGAAATTTTTTTTTCTGCAGTTGCCGAACGTTGCCGAAAAGCATTCGGCAATTTGCCGAGTTGCCGAATTGCCGAAATTCTTTTGTTGTCGCACAGGCCTGCTATAGATATAGAGATCACAAAAATGGCTTTACTTTGAAAAGTTAGCTTCAATAGGTGTTCTATGCATTTGTATTCATTTTTGATTTTGTATTCACTTCGCTATAACTGGAAATAGATACAACTTTTAAAGTGAATATACTATAAATATAGTTCTTAAAAGAGACATGCGATTTTAAGAAAAAGAAAAAATACAATATTAGATTCGCTGGAATGTGAAAAGCGTCACAGACACATTAGCAACGTAAACAATGAGAAAAAGTGAGAAAAATTGACTTAAAGATTTTAAAAGCTCCCCGAAATATAATTTTGACATTTCTGAAAATTTGAAGAGTTTCGAAGCTATGAATAAAAAACATGAAAATCAAAAATTCAATTTAATTCAACCTGGTCTGAACTATAATTCTCTACCGCTAGTTTTGCAATGTGCCAGTCTCAAACTTTGAATTAATAGTTTTTCCTAGTGTTTATAATAACAGTTTGGCTGTCCATTGTATTGAAAGGTCCCCATTTTTAGTGTCAGTTTTTTTTTTACTATTTTTATTGGGTATGTGTTTTAGGGCACTCAATTTAAAATCAAATTAGTTTCTCAAGATAGTGTGGGTCCCGAGAATCATGACGAAAAATAATAAAAAATTCGGCATGATCAAGGCTGACTGAAAATAAGCATTTTGATGAATGTACTAAAACTAATTTGAAAGTTCATTCCGAAAAAGTCGACTTTGTAGTCACTAATATTTGCAGAAATTTTACTAGGAATCTTATAGTACACTTTCCGTAAATTGATCATGTTAGGCACTATATGTACGATAATTTTTCAGTTTATGATTCTTCGAAACTTTCAAGAAAACATGTAATAAAAGAGCTCCCGAATTTTCACCTTTGATCCGGTTTTTCTCGGTCCCCGTTGAAGATATTAAAAAAGTTGCCAACTGATAAATTGTTTATCATAATGTCAGAAGTGTTTTGTCAGTTGACATTTTTATGATATCTTGCATGGGAGCCAAAACTTCAGCTAAAACTTGACAGTGCTTCTTTTACAGGTTTTACGGTAATAAGTTTTCTCATCTTCTACATTTTCGACAATAAAACTAATTCTCTCTCATTTCTAAAAAATGTTAATCAGGATTCCAATAAAATTGCCTAGGCTAGAATTTATCACACTCAATTGCTTCAAAAAATGAATTCCAGGAAAATACTTGTTTTTTAATGTTTCTATCTGATTTGTGTTGCAGTTTCGCTCGCTGGTTCTCCATATGTCCCCCTTACATACATCCAATTTTTAATATTAGTTGATTGAATTTTTTGGGTGGCGATATGGTGATATGTCACTATACTACACTTCTCGAGACTTTTTTCCTTTTTTATAAGTTCCGGAAACTTTTCTTAACTTTTTAAAGCATAGTTGCAAGCGGGCCGACCCAGGCAGATGGCGGGTCGGCTGATAACTTGTGCCTAGAACAAGATATTCGGTCCGATAACATGTTGAGAAATGTGTTTGAATGACAAAAAAATCTGCATTTTGTCAAGTTGGTCAAAAATAGTCATTCATACACATTTTGCGGCATTTTATCAGACCGGAATCAGGCTCCAATGATATAGGCGTGATGGGCCCTGTCGAGATCTATCATTTGGTACCTAAACTGTCTGCATATCTCGTTCTAGGGGCGAGTTAGCAGCCGGCCCGCTTGCAACAATGTTTCAAAGTAACCCATTTCTGTTCTCTGGTTTTCCGAAATTGATTCAGAAATTCTATCAAATTTTGATCCTTGACTTTCGAATAAAAAAAAAGATCAAAAAGTTTCAAAAAGTCACCTGACCGTTTAGAGGGCCACCCACTTGAAATTTCAAAAACGATTTTCAAGGTCTACATTTTTTATATTCGAAATTATAAAAGACGACTTTTTCTGATTTTCCTTTGTCATTTGTTGTTCGTTCTTCTCGAATTTTTGTCAAATTTAAAATTTTGTTGTTCTGTATTCTTTTGAGTTATTTTTAGCCTGTTCTTTGAACATCCTGTTTAAAAAAAGCTCAAAAAACCAGTGGACTGTTTTACTTCCCTCATCAAAACATTAAAAAAATTTAAAAATCATTAAAAATCATTAAAAAATCATTAAAAAGACATTAAGTCATCAAAGTCATTAAAAACGTGGAACAGAATATCTGAAAAAGAAAAATATTCAAAATTAATTGTGTGCAATCTGGGTAGAGCAAAAAAAACAAAAAAACTATTTTTTCAATTGGTTTGGGAAGGGAAAAGTAATTCAGAAAAATATGAACTTCCTCAGAAAAATTTTAAAAAAAGATAAATTCAGAAATTCAGAAATTTAGAAGTTCAGAAATTCAGATATTCAGAAATTTAGAAATTCAAAAATTCAAAAATTCAGAAATTCAGAAATTTAGAAATTCAGAAATTCAGAAATTCAGAAATCCAGAAATTCAGAAGTTCAGAAATTCAGAAATTCAGAAATTCAGAAATTCAGAAATTCAGAAATTCAGAAATTCAGAAATTCAGAAATTTAGAAAATCAGAAAGATAATCGGAGTTTAAAAACCTAGAAATCCAATAATCTGAAATTTCTTTAGTTCCAAAAAATCCAGAAATACTAAAACTCGAAAACCGAAATACCGTAAAACCTCTAATAGAACGACACCCGGATCGTCCACTTTGAGCCTATATATCTCATTTTCTGTGAAAGATATCAAAAAGTGGCTAATTAGTAAAATGTTGCTGATATCCTGATAAACATTTTACTAGTTAACTACTTTTTGATATCTTTCAAAAGAAGTGAGATATATAGGCTCAAAGTGGACGATCCGGGTGTCGTTCTATTAGAGGTTTTACGGTATTCCAGATTTTCCGAACTCAAAAACTCGAATTTTTGGAAAATCAAAAAATCGGAATATCCTTTAAAACTCCAGACAATAGTTTGTTTAGTTCCAGGTGGTAAAGTGCCCAATCTCCTGGCTTCCCATTTTTCCTCATCTCCATTCTGTCCACTAGAATCCTTTTTCCAAGAACTGCTATACTTTTCATGGTTCCAAAAAACGTCAGCCATTTTATTCCCTAGGATTTTCAGTCAAAAAAAGTGGGCGGTCCTAGAAAAAATTCTTTTCTAACATCTTTGCTTTCTATTCTCCCTATAACAATTTATCAACCCATAATTTTCTAGTATATAAAAGTCCACATATCATAATTATACCACTCATTCTCTCAAACTCAAAAAGTTTTCGTCTTCTGACTCAAGAATCCGAAAACACAAAAACTGCTTGTCGGACTTCGTGCTAATTAAAAAATAACCGGAAAAATACTCCCTTTTCTGATTCATCCAGTTTTATTCATCTGGAGAATAGTCTCCCAAACGAATTGTTCCCTTCACCCCCCAATTTACTTCCTATTCTTCTTCCTGAATTTTCCTACGCATTTCCTGGTTTACATCGAAAATTATAAAAAAATAAACAAGACGAACGACACATCAGCCTGAAAATTTTTCTGCAATAAAAATGCTAATCGACACAATGAATTCCAGTCAAATGGCCGTCATCTATTTGGTCACAGAGCTATGTTGTCTGACGGCTGCCACGTTGAGTTTTGTGTTCAATGCATACATTATTTACTGCTTTTGGAGGTTAGTGTTGGATTGGCGGGAATTTGAATTTTGAATAGTTTCAAGTTTTTTGTCTCAAGATTTATTTTTTTCAATTTCTGAAAAGTATTCAATTTGACCCATTTTCTATGGGAAATGGTCAAATTTGTATAGAAGGGCCCGCACACTTTCAAGTTTGTGCCCTTCTATTACAGGTTTGACGGTAGTAGATTTTGTTGGATGAGCCTTAAAAATTGTAGAGTATACTAAACAAAAACGGGTTTCATTTTTTTAGTTTTCAACTTTTTTATAATTTTCTATTTATTGGGATATGGGCCTTGAAGCATACTTGCAAAATCAACGTCCGGCCCGCAGGCCTGGACGGGGCTGGCCGGGCCGGGCCCGGGTTCTCCAAATTTGAAATTTTATTTCAATTTCAGACATTTTTTTCAAATTTCTTGTGAAAAAATAATTTTTATGGACACTCTCATCTTTAAAAGTTTTTTACTTGACAGAAAAACCGTCGATTTTTTCTATTGACCCCAAAATTTTTTTGAAAAGTTAGGAAATATTTTTTCTGAAAACCCGGGCCAGACCGGGCCGGGTTGTGCCCTGAAAATTCTGAAAAAAGCACGGCCTGGCCCGGCCCGTTGCAAGTATGCTTAGAAGCCGTTGCAGTGCTAGAGATGAAACGGAGAGGAGAATACGGTATTTTTAAAGGCGCGCATCTCAAAAACCAATGAAGTTACAAAAAAGTTGTCCACTACAAAATTAAAGCTCTATTTTTGTTTAGTACAATTGAAAATGTTCAGTCTCATCCAATGAAATTTACTATATGTTTTAGACATCCAAATTTGACTGTTATAAACTAACACTAGGATTCATGTGTTGACCAGTGAAAAATAATCAAAAACTTGTATTCTAGATTCCAAAATCCAAATAATAAATTTCCAGAAAAAAGATCCCAGCCGCTGACAATTTACGCCTGGCTCTCTATCTGGCTATCGGGGATTTCGGCTATGCAGCAGCTGCCCTGATCCATATCGGATATTTGGCAATCAACTGGTCAAATGAGTGGCTGGATTACAATCCGTATATAATAATTATCTCAAATTGTTTCCTACCGGCTAATCTGAAAATCATTGTGGTCGTTAGTTGCTCAATGGCGCTAGATAGATGTCTGGTAAGTGTGGTCAATAAAAACTGAGTCATGTCTGGAAGGGTTTCCCACGGACCTGAGTCTGGGAAACCCAAAAATGACCTAGAAACCCGAATTTTAAGTTTCATGAGACCTAGAAACCCAAAATTCCAGGCAATCTTCTTCCCTGTCGTGTACCGTCAACTGAGCAAGAGCTACTTTGCCAACTGTGCAATGGCTTGTGGATATTGTTGGTTCACATTTGATTTTCTCTTCCAATTACTCACAGCGCCACTCAAAAGAATGCCAAATTGCGCCACAATGGCTTGTTTTGTACACCGAACTTTTCTGTTATACGTCAGCTATTCAAATACTGTAAGTTCCAAATTCTCAAATGTCAGACTTTAATCAAAATCAATAATTTTTCAGATCGCGGGTCTTCTTATAGTTGTAATGAGCGTTTTCGTTTTTGCGGGCATTCAAAAAATCTCCCAGAGAAAAAGTCAGATCGGCACTCAAACGGTATCTTTGTACTTGAAAGGCCACCGCACTCCAACAATTTATTTTCCAGACTACAGGTGTAAAAACGACAAGTGTATTCCGGCAAGCCAATCGGATTACTGTAGGCATTTTGTTCTGTTCTCTTTTCTTTGTCACAATTCCGTCGTTGTTGGTGACGGGGTATGAGGAGGTGACAGGGATTTCGCTGTTCGCCGAACTTGGACCGTTTTATATTTGTGCGATTTTGGTGAATGGTGAGTGTAGGGACAGTAGCAGGGTCTTATCAGTGTTCGTGAAAGAGATACAGATACACATTTGAACAGTAAAATTCCAAGTATCCGATATGAATTAGGAAAACTGCTGCGCATCCAAAATCACCGATATCCAGCTAGACGCAAATTGTCAGCGGCTGGGCGCTTTTATCTGAAAACTTATTAGTTCAATTTTTGTATCTAGAATATTTAGATATATAGTACCGACCAAATTTTATGAGTTTACCCTTGGAAATAAGCGACTTCGGATGTCTAAAAACTATAACAGATTTCGTTAGATTAGTCTGAATTTTTTCAGGTATACCAAATAAAAATAGAGCTTTCATTTTGTAGTTGACAACTTTTTTATATTTGTTTTGATTTTCAAGATGTGCATATTTCCGAAAAACAAAAAACTACAAAAAAGTTGTCAATTACAAAATTGAAGCTCTATTTTTGTTCAGTAAGCCTGAAAACTTTAAGTCTTATGTTAGCTGACAAACGCTACTGTGTTTTTTGACATCCATAGTTGGCCTTTTTCCACTGAAAATAGATAAAATGAATTCACTTTTGGCAGGTATTTTGACTACTTTTTCAAGGCTTTGAACTTAATTTGTTTTTCTGTAATTGCTAAAATAGATTTTTTAAAAACTTCTCAAATGAGTTTCGCAATTGGTATCATTTACAGTAACCAATATGTTATGTTTAGGGGGGGGGGGGGGCTGTGCAAAACACCTGAAATTTTCGAATTTCGTACCGCCGAATTGTGGTTTCCGTACCCCTGAATTACTTTACACCCCCATGTACCCCCAAATCGTTGCACCATCCGAATTATGTGCCTAGTTGGCGCGCAAATGCACGAATTCGGTCGGCTCGGTGGTTGGCGGTCGGTCGGTGGTTACCGATTTGTGACCGACCGGAACGGAAGCACCAGCGAGACATATAATTTTTTGACTTTATAAAAATAAGGATCAAACTATTCTAAATTTTCCAGGATTCGCCGACGGTTTGGTCTTCGTGATCGTCAATCGAAAATCAATGGGATCCCGTCATCGAACGCTCTCATCAACGGTGAGCACAGTGCATACTCGCAACCGTGCATCCCTTATAAATGGTCCACCATCGCGTGTAGCAGAGTTCTAATTCTGTGATTGATCGTAGTCGTCAAATACCTCGTGCGCCTTGTATGTTTTTATGTTCACTTGATTTTGTTTGTGTAGAAGAGAAGAAATCAGAAAGTGGAAATTGATCCAATGATAAGAAAATGTTTCGCAAGAGAGACCATTTTGCATGAAAGGAATGCAAAAAAAATAATCAAAAATCTGTTTTCAGGGAGCAAAAAACACGGTGGCCCCGCTGCGACGAACCAGCAATTTAGACTTTTCCCATGTGACTCCACATAATCCATCAATTGTTCAACAACACGATCAGTACTAAATAATTCTAGAGCTTTAATTTCTTAATTTGAATTCCCATGTTACAGGTGTATTGTCAATTTTCTCAATGAATGAAATTTTTTTGTGTTCTTTGACAATTTATTTTGAAAAATCAAAAGATGAAAAATTTAAAAGGAAGTGAGCATTGGGAAAAACAAAAAAAAATGATATGAATTAGGAAAGGGCATTGGTTCTTTGACACCTTAGTTATCCCTATAATTATGTTCTAGTTACGTCATTCCGAAAAGTTTTAGGCTTATTTGATTGGGGAGTTGAAGACTAAGAAGTAAAAAAAAACAATTTCAAGAGAACAATTCGGGAATCTGGAAACTTTCTGAAACTTTAATTTCGTATAATATTTGGAAACACAGTTAGAGTTTTGAAGATACAGTAACCTAAAAATCCCAGTAATCCAAGATTACAGAAAGTTCAAGATCTGATTCTTGCAACGATTTCTGTTTTCCGGAATCACAAAACACACGTAAAAGTACATGAGTGGTGCAATTGTTCTCTGAAAAATTCAAGAAATGAGAAATTAGGGACTCGGGTTGAAAACTGAAAAATGAATAAATTATTCTATCGGAAAACATATGAATTTTATTTCTGGAAATTCTCGGTAATCTTGGTCAAAATAATGGCCTTAGTGAGCCTAAATGGGTTTTAAGAACTATTTTTTGGAATCAAAATTTGTTTGAAAATATTTTCTCTTCGTTTTTTTTTGTATTCAGAAATTCAGAATTTCGGAAATTCGGAAATTCAAAAATTCAAATATTCAGAAATTCAAATATTCAGAAATTCAAAAATTCAAAAGTTTAGAAATTCAGAAACTCAGAAATTCAAAAATTCAGAAATTGAGAATTATCAGAGCTAGAAGTCCCAGTTTCAAGTTATGGAGATTCAGAAATTCAGAGGTTCCGAATTTCCAAGAATCCATAAATTCAAATTCACAAAATGAGAAAAACCAAACTTCTGCAAAAAAATACCGTAACCACAAATCACATCAACCCAAAAAAAAGGTGCATCAAACCAACTCGATCATTCCATAATCACTAAGAAAAAAACCAAATTGATGATTATTTCCTGTTTTTTTTTCATCTACACCAAACAAAAAAGTGTAGTCTTCTGTATTTTCTCTTGATTTCTCTACGCCTCTTTACTTTTCCTTATCTTTCCCATTAAACAGTGTTGACTACATGGAACAAGGTTAGCCACAGTGTACTCTTATCAACCACATCGAAGTGTGTCTCTTTTCCTCTCTTTTTATCTTTTATCATTCATTTTTATTTCCCACATATAGTCTTCAACATTTGGACTGAAGATGTTCAAAATTCTTTCCAGATTGGGTGTCAAACTTTATATAGCTTTTCTAGAATTTTTTTAAAAAGTTGATTCAGCACTTGGAAGCTTTTCAACCTTTTTTCCAGTTTTTTTAAAAGGTATTTAAAAAATTCCTGAACCTTCTAGAAAAAATTAAAAGCTTGAGAATTTTCAGAGAAAGTACTGTATTTGCTGTAGTAAATGCCCGCCATAGTGTACTTTGAGTCCATATATCTAATTTCCTGTAAATCGAAAAGTGCTAAACCAATAAATTGTTCATCATAATATTACCAATTTTTATGAATTTACAGATTTTTGATATCTTTCATAGGAGCGAAGATAATTGAGCTCAAACTGCGTGTATGGGATGGGCGAAAATACAGTAATTTTTTAAAGTTTCAAAAGTTTCAGAAAAATTTTCTGCAATTTTTCACAAATTTTAAATTTTGTAAAACGTTCCTTCTAAGTTCCCAGATTTTTTTTTAGTTTTTGCAACTTCAAAAAAATATTTTAATCGTTTAAAGATTCTCAAAAAGATTTTTTTTCAAATTTCTGGAAATTTCTTTTTCTGCTTTCTTTAGCTTCCTAAAACTTCACCGAACTTTTGATTTTCATATTCAAGTATTTTGTTTCATTCGATTCCATTTTATCAATTTTTCTAAAAACCCATTTTTCCAGAAACTTCAAATCCCTCAGAAAATGAGCCCAACCAAGCCAAAGGTCTACATTGTCGGCGTCGGAATGACCAAATTCTGTAAACCAGGATCCGTCGATTGGGATTATCCAGACATGGTCAAAGAGGCTGTGAATAGTGCATTAGACGATTGTGGACTAAAATATGCCGATATTCAACAAGCCACAGTTGGTTATCTTTTTGGAGGTTGGTTCTCTGAAATTCTGGAATTTTCCAAAATTTGCAGAACTGCAGAGCTGCAAATTAACTTTTCTCTAAATTTAGACTTTTTCCGGAAAAAAAGATTATAGTTCAGTTGGTTGGTGTCACTGATTAATCTCTGAAAGTTTACCTCTTATCAGTTTTGCAAGAAAACTGCGTCACAAAATCAAAAAATGTACTTTTTGCTCTTCCAGGAACCTGTTGCGGACAACGTGCTCTTTATGAAGTCGGACTCACTGGAATCCCAATTTTCAATGTCAATAATGCTTGCGCTTCTGGATCTTCCGGATTGTTCCTCGGGAAACAAATCATTGAGAGTGGTAAGGAACAGTCCCAAAAAAGCTTCCATACCCAGCCGACCGACCGCCGACCAAGCTGAGCGATCGCTTAGCTCGGTCGGCAATGTTTCCAACCGAATGGAAGCCGTAACCCTGGAAGGATTCTAAGATTACAATAACACATTTTCAGGAAACGCCGATGTTGTCCTATGCTCTGGATTTGAGAAGATGGCTGCTGGATCATTGGAAAAGTTGGCGTCCCCAATTGATGATCGTGCTCTTTCTGTGGATAAACACATTGAGGTGATGTCAGAGACTTATGGATTGGAACCAGCTCCGATGACAGCTCAGATGTTCGGAAATGCTGCTAAGGAACACATGGAGAAATATGGTGAGATTCTGAGATTCTGAGATTTTGAGATTCTGAAATTTCTGGGATTCGGAATCCTGAAGTCCTGGATTTTGCAATTTTCGAGTTGTTTGATTTCTAGATTTCTAAATTTCTAGCTTCCGATCTTTAATTCCATGATCGCTGGATTCTAAAAAATCGAATTTTTAGATTCTAGAGGGTTCTATGAGTTTTTTGATTTGAAGGAATCCCCAAGAAAAACGAATATTTCATTTTTCGGTTTTGGTTAATCGAAAAATGACGGCCGACTGACCGTCGACTGACCGTCGACCCAGCCGACCGACAACTGACTAAGCCTACCTATCGGCCGCTAATCAAATTCGTGAATTCTAAACTTCTGGATTTTGAAATTCTCTGATTGTGCTGCTTGGCTAGGTCGGCGGTCGGTTCGCTGGGTCGGCGGTCGCTGATTTTTGACACACCGAAATCGAGTTTTTTTCTCCTAAACTCCAAATTTTCCACGCAATCCTGGGTTTTGAAATTCTCTGACCACACGGTATTTCAAACCAGCGGGTCGAAAATCGCGCCCCAGCGAACGTGAAAAATTACTGCGCGACGTGTCCAATTTTCTTTGGCTGAGGATCATTTCCGGATTCAGATTTCTGTATACCGTAAAATTTTCATTTGTCCGTATTCCGGATTCCAAGAAAATTATTTTATTCCGGATTCCGTCACTCAAAAAATTCATTCCGGACATCTATGATTTATAGGCATAAAAAGTTTCGCGTCCTAGAAAATTCATTTTGAGAAAATTAGGTCACCATATAGTTTGACCGGTGTCGTGTCGACTCGGCTCGACATTTGTCGACTTTTGTTGACACGATATCGCTCTTGGTGAAGGTCGACACGATTTTTGTCGACTCCTTCAAAACGACATTTTGACTCAAAATCGATCGACAATCGTGTCGACACGTTACTCTAGTGACCATGATATTCTTTGGTTTCTAACATCCGATTTTTTATTCCTTGATCTCTGGATTTAAAAAATCTAATTTTAAGATTCTTTGAGATCTTAGGATTTTAAGAAACCCCAGAGAATATATTAGCTTCAGTAATTCTGAAAATCAATTTTCCAGGATCCAAACGCGAGCACTACGCCAAGATCGCCTACAAAAATCATCTTCACTCCGTCCATAACCCAAAATCCCAATTCACCAAAGAATTCTCTCTTGACCAAGTGATCAATGCTCGTAAGATCTACGACTTCATGGGTCTTCTGGAGTGCAGTCCAACTTCCGACGGAGCAGCTGCTGCAATCATTGTCTCTGATCGTTTCCTCGAGAAAAATCCACGTCTGAAGTCTCAAGCTGTTGAGATTGTCGGCTTGAAATTGGGAACCGATCTTCCATCAGTGTTTGCAGAGAAATCAAATATCAAAATGATTGGATTCGATATGATTGAAAAGATTTCGAAGGAGTTGTATGCAGAGACGAAACTCACTCCAAATGATGTTCAAGTCATTGAGCTCCATGACTGTTTTGCTCCAAATGAGCTGATCACTTACGAAGCAATCGGGCTGTGTCCATTGGGAAAAGGACATACTATTGTGGATAGAAATGATAATACTTATGGAGGAAAATGGGTCATCAACCCATCAGGAGGACTCATTTCGAAGGGACATCCAATCGGAGCAACTGGAGTTGCTCAGGCTGTTGAGTTGTCTAACCAACTACGTGGAAGATGTGGAAAGAGACAAGTTCCAAACTGCAAAGTCGCCATGCAACATAATATTGGAATCGGTGGAGCTGGTGTCGTTGGAATGTATCGTATGGGTTTCCCACAGAGTGCTCAATCTAAATTATAGATTTTTTGTTTATATCTCGAATTTTGATAATAAAACTATTTTTCCTGAGGTTTCTAAATGACGATTCTCGATCAAAGGTCTGCACACACCTCCACCCGATCCCATAAACCGTTGATCTCACCTTGAGACTTTGCTATCGATTCAGTTCGATTCATTTCAATTCACGACCTCCATGCTGTCTTCTCGCTGTCTTTTCCTTTCCATTATACTGTTGTTAATCCCGAATGATGTCACTTCTTGTGACATAACTGCCACACTAACATCTCAATCATATTATCCAGTGTATGCTGTATTTACTTTTCATGATGGGAGGACCAGTGTGTGAGTTTAGAATTCATTGTTGTCATAAAATCATTAAAAAATGTGGTAATTTTTTTTGTGATTTTTATTTATTCTTGAGTCAATATTAATGATTTTTGGGTGATTTTCAGTATTTTTGTTTGGCCCATACTTTTTAAAAAAATACACAATGAGATCGATATGCATTAGATCTGTACGGATAGTAAGAATCCAATTTTTTTGAAACTCAACATTTTTTTAGAAAATTATAATATTGGAACAGTTTTCAGATTTTAGATGTTCAGAAATCCAAATAATCTAGTTAATATCTAGTTGCAATCGAATTTAACCAAAATTTGCTCTATTGCTCAAAAATGGACTAAATCCCAGAAGAGAGACTCCAAGTTAGGACCGTCCCAAAGAGATACTCCGGGTCCCAATAATGAGACCTTTGCCAAGGTGTTGGTACCATGATCGGATGGATTGGACCACGGTTGTCCTATTGGGACCGCTTTTTTGATAGACCCAAAATGAACAATGTAAAAGTTCAATTTTTTGTAAAAATCTTTTTTGGGCGTCTTTACGAACCAATTCAAGTTTGGGATCTTGATTTCTAAGCTGATCTTATTTCTAACTTGAATTTATTGAATCAGTTGGTTCAACTGAGTTTCTTTGGTAATATGTTGAGGCAATGATTTCATTTTCAAATATCCTGTTTTGTGACACAATTTTGATAATTGAGTTTCACTATCAGTTATTTAAAAATTGTAGTGTTCCGAGAAAAATGGAGAGGAGTTTGTAGTCCATTTTCTAGCAATAACCCCCCTATTCCCATAATTTTACTCCTAATTCTAGATTTGAACTTTGATAGAGTTTGTGAAATCATCCAAATGAGGTGAAAAAGCAAAAAAACCAAACTTTAAAAATCCCATTTCCAGCCTCTACCTCCGGTCCTACGGTAGTTCCCAATCTACTCGAATCACTGGTTCATTTTGTAATTCTCGTCCGACCCGACTTGATGTGAGCTTCTCTTTGTAATTCTTGACACCAAACTAACTTTTCAGGCATATCGCTCATATCCTGGATACGGCGCGTACCCTTATGCATCAACACAAGCATTCCTAGAAGGATTCGGTTTTGTCAATTACTCGGTATCTTGATTTTTCTCTTTCCTCTAACAACAAGAAAGTATTTTCAGATTTTGAGTGATAGTGTCTCAATAGGTGCGAAGGCTGGTGTCATGTGTGCAGCTGGTGATTGTGGAAGGGGATGAAAGGATCTTTGGATTATCAAAAAATGATGATTCAATTGTTTGTTTCCATTTTTCTGATTGCGCACCATCCAAAAAAATCCGTCATATGTAAAAGTTTTTGGTCTAATGATTCCAAATTTTTCCAAAGTTTGCTTCCATTTTTTTGTGGTTTGGCTGTTATTGTTGTTCAACTGATTATCACTGAATATTCATCTTTAATAAGACATAAATGTTATGCATCAGTAATGTGTTGTTTTTTTTCTTCTGTAGTTTGGATAAGGGTTCGTTTAATATCTTGGTTTGTCTAATAGCCAGTTAGGGACCAGTCCAATAATTAACTTTCAAAAAACATCGCGGGAAAACAAAAGAAAATCGGAGATCAAAGCAGAAAAAATGGAGGTAAATAAAAGAAGTAAGTTTGAGAAGCCTCATGACCCAAAAACGCAAGAGAGCATGAAAAAATTATTGGGTCATGGAAAATGGGCAACTTGGGAAAACTAAATTTTGCAAGGCTGAGTTTTTGTTTATTAACGCTGCTGGGATAAAAAAAATCGAAATTCTTTTTTTTATATTTTTGGAAGCTCTAGAAGCAATTTTATATATCCCAAAGTTTGCAGGCTAGTAATAGGATTTTTGCTTCGAAAATCTTAATTTCACCGATTTTCAAATTTCACCTGGTTTCGTAAATTTCGTTCTTGAACTTTCTGAAATCTCTGGAGGTATTTCAGTTCCGATTTTTTTTCGAATTTTTAAAAAATTTCATAACCGAGGAATTTATTAACTTTCTCACTTTATCACGTTTTGAAATTTTAGGAAAAATCTCCACAAAAATCTGAGAATCTCAGAATTTCAGAATCTCAGAATCTCAGAAATTCAGAATCTCAGAATCTCAGAATCTCAGAATCTCAGAATCTCAGAATCTCAGAATCTCAGAATCTCAGAATCTCAGAATCTCAGAATCTCAGAATCTCAGAATCTCAGAATCTCAGAATCTCAGAATTTCAGAATCTCAGAATCTCAGAATCTCAGAATCTCAGAATTTTATAATTTTCTCATTTCAGATGTAGATTCAAATTCACAAACTGAAAACTTGAAAAATATAACTGTGAATTCCAAAATTCGAAAACTGAAAACTTCAAAAAAATTTTAAATTCAAATATTCATAAACTAGTTTTGCCTCAACTATTTTAAATTCGATTCTAGCCTCCTCAATTTCTCTTGCATCTAAAAATAACAACCAAGAACGCCAGCCTACTCATTCCAACCCAATTGCTCTCTTGACTTCCTGGAATGAACACCCAGTTGTCTTTCACGCACTTGTTTAACTTTTTCCAGTGATTACACTTCCAAAACATGCGGTCTTTCAACAAAAATATCTGAAAAATAGAACGGGAAAACAAGAGGAAAACACCATGATAATTTGTCTCCTCCTCCAACTCTCCTCTGATTCTTCAGCCTGGTGTTTGTCTTCTTCTTGAATCATTTGCCCCCTCAAACTGCTCATCCATCTGGAATAATTTTCAGATTGACAAAAAAGTGTGGTGTGTTTTTTTTGTTTCAAAAATCATCAGCTGATGATGTGACCAACAGATTTCAGAGTCTTCTTGCTGTTTGAGACTTCATTCATTTCAAAAAATGATTTTCCTTATCAACTCATCTTATCACCTCTGGATTCCAATTTATATTTTCAATGGAGGAGAATTCAAATCTCCTGTTATGATAACTCTGATAATTGCAGAGTTTTTGTTATCATTATTTTGTGTTTTTTATTCTATCAAATTGTGTATTTTGATCTGGAAAATTCGGGTTTTTCATGTGAATATGAGTATTTTGGCAATTGCATACTTGATACAGTATATTGAGTGTTTTGTGGGAAAATGGTTTATGATGGGTCATCAAACCGGATTTTTTGGTGTAGAGAGTAAGAAGAAAATTTGAATTCTGAAAGAAATTCCGAAAAATCGAAAGAAAATCCAGAATTTTCGAATAGTACAAAAAAATCCAAAAAGTCCAAAAATTCAGAGTTTCCGAAAAATCCGATACTTCCGAAATATCTGGAAATTTAGAAAGTTGGAAAAACTTCAAAAATTACGCAATGTCCAAAAGATCCAAGAAATCGGAAAATTCAAAACTTCCGAAAAATTGAAAGTTCTAAAAATACTAACTCCTAAAAAATTCAAGAAATCCAAAAATTTAGAATGTCCAAAAAATTAAAAAAGTTCAAAAAACCAGAAATCCCAACAAAAAACAAAAAATTAAAAATATATAAATTTGAAAAATTTTAGAATTTCCAAAAAAGCAACAATTTGAATAATTGACGAAAAAATCCAAGAAATCGATATTATAAATATAAAAATTCCTACAAATATAAAAATTCGAAAAATCGGAAATCTCGAAAAATTCTGAATTTCCGAAAATCAAAAATTCCAAATTTCAAAATAATTCAAAAATTGCAGATAATCCAAAATTCAAATAAAAATGAAATTCCAAAATTTGCGAAAAATCCAAAAATTCGAAAAAAATAATAAAGAAATAAAAAAATGCAAAATTTCCAAATGTTCAAATAATCCGAAAGTCCGAAAATTCTAAATTCCGAAAAATCCAAAGACCTTACTATGAGAATATTTGAAAATTCTGATTTTTTTTGAATATTTCGGATTTTTCGAATTTTTAGAATTTCCCATTTTCTAAATTATTGGATTTCTCGGAATGATCAGAATTCATTTAAAGTTATTATGTTAAGACTTTTCTCAATGAAACTTTCAAAAATTAAATTTTCTGGCTCTTCAAAATAAACGCCTTAAAAATAAGACATTTCAGGAATCCCCTCCAACAAAACGTACATGAATTGGTGGACCAATAACCCTGAAAATATTCCAAAAGTCTTAAAATCATCTGAGATTCTTCCCCTCCTGATCGGTGGTCTTCTCATTTGGCATTATTTATTTTCAATGATCTGTTTCATATTTTCATTTTGTGCAGAACGAGCAATCGCAACTTTGCTTTCTGGGTAACTTTTAAATTGCTATTTTCAGTAATTTGTTTTTTTCTTCTCAGAGATTACGAAAAACACCAACGCAAGTACATTTCCTCTATTATCCTTATCATATCCCACACAATAACTGTAATTTTGAGTTTTTATGAAAAAATTTTATGAAAAAATGCAAATGGTGCCTACAGTAGCCGGGTGTATGATATGTGTGGCGACGTCTTGTGTGGTAATTTGATTTTCCAATTTTTTAGAAACTTAAAAATTTTAGTTTTAATAATTCCAGCTTTTCATAATCATCCTAATCGTCAATTTGAAAATCAACATTCTGCAATCCAAAACTGGAAGTGGTGTAATTCTGTACACTTTGGCTTTTCGATTTCAAGTAAAAGAGAATATAAGAGCTTTGAAGGTGAAAGGAAATCTAAAAATTGAATTCAAAAAATGAACAAAAAATTCAGTTAGCGTATCGAGTTTTGGTCTGCATCGGAGTTTATATTTTTGTATTGTGTATTATTTTGTTCACACTATTTTTCGATGTGATTCCTTCGATGAATCAGATTTTGATATTTCTTTTGGAGAATTGCATTTATTTGTGAGTTTCTGCTTCTAAACATGTTTCTAGGGTTCATTTAGTCGGAGAACTGGAAATTTCAAGATTCATAAACCTGAAAATCTAGCATTCTGAAACTTCTAAACTATAAATTTTTACAGATTTTATGATTCTGAATTTCTGAATTTCTGAATTCCTGAATTTTTGAATTTCTGAATTTCTGAATTTCTGAATTTCTGAATTTCTGAATTTCTGAATTTCTGAATTTCTGAATTTCTGAATTTCTGAATTTCTGAATTTCTGAATTTCTAAATTTCTGAATTTCTGAATTTCTGAATCTCCGAATTTCTGAATTTCTGAATTTCTGAATGCCTGAATTTCCGAATTTCTGAATTTCTAAATTTCTGAATTTCTGAATTCCTGAATTTTTGAATTTCTGAATTTCTGAATTTCTGAATTTCTGAATTTCTGAATTTCTGAATTTCTGAATTTCTGAATTTCTGAATTTCTGAATTTCTGAATTTCTAAATTTCTGAATTTCTGAATTTCTGAATCTCCGAATTTCTGAATTTCTGAATTTCTGAATGCCTGAATTTCCGAATTTCTGAATTTCTAAATTTCTGAATTTCTGAATTTCTGAACCCTTTTCCGATTTTTTTGATTCTTCAAATCCAATAGAATCCTTGAAATTCTAGAACCCTACAATTTCAGATTCCAAGGATCCAAATTTCCCTGGACAACTAAAATTTGGTCTGAAATTTCAGATCTGTGCACCCATGGCAATCTAAAAATCTCATAAAAACTTTCAGAAATCCTCTTGTCATCTGTTCTGTGATTTTCTACTCCATCGCGCCCTGGAAAAAAGCTCTTCTCCATGACTATCCATTCCTTCAATCAGGATTTTTTGTCTCTTCAAAAACCCAAAGAGCATCCAGTTCAAAAGCTTCTTATCGACAAACAGCTGATCTATACTTCACACAACTTCAAACATCTTGGTTCAAGAAATGAGACTAATTCAAGTGGAAGTGAATTCCTCATTTTTTCATTTTATCATTTGTTTTTATTTTTCTGAGTCTTTCTCATAGTTTGTGTATTTATCAATCATCCTCTTATCAGTTAGTGATGATATTCCAAATAAATGGGTCATTTCTAGTTTATTTACCATTTTTCTCTTTCAACGGACATGAATACGAATCCCCAATTTATACGACCCTACTGATAATGGAGGTCTTGTTATCAGTGATTTGTGTATATTTGACCGTAAAAATTTGCTGGATTCTATACAAATCTAGAGTTTTCCATATAAATATTTCGATTATATCAGCTTTCTATTTTGGTCAATATTTTGAATTATTGCTCGGGAAGGGTTTATTGATTTTTTATCAGTATGGATTTTTGGGAATTCTAGGTAATGGGAAAATGCCTTTATAGCAAAATATGCAATTTTCACCTAATTTGACAGTCAGAAAAAAAATAAGTTTTCAAAATTTTCTGAGTTGACGAAGCCTAGAAATAAGTTTCCCAACAACGATTGTAAAGTCTGATTGAAATTTCAAAAACTTTGAAAATTTCAGAAAAATCGATTTTTTTTTCAAAAGTAGAATCTGAATTTTTGACAACTTTCAAATTTTTTTGAAGAAAACAATTTCTGGATTTTAAAATCAGCAAAATGAAAAAATTGATTTATTTAAAAAACTTTAAAATTCCACAAATTATTTTTTTTTATTTTTAGGTTTTCGAAATGGGCGGAGATCAGGAATAAATTTTCCAACTACGATTTCAGTCAGGAAAGAAAATAAAATTTCTAAAATTCATAATTTTTTAAATAGAATTTTCAAAAATTCTCAGAAAATCGAATTTTTTGAAAAAAAAACTCAAAAAAAAAGTCAAAAAGTTAGAATCCAAATTTCTGGAAAAATTTCAGCAATTTGTGGAGAGAACAATTTCCGTTTAGGAAATCAGTAAAGTGGAAAATTAAAATTTTGATTTTCAAACATTTTTTAAGTTTCAAGAAAATTTCAAATTTTTCGAGTAAAAAAGTTAGATTTTCAACAAAACATTTCAAAAAAAAAAAACATTTTCAACATGGAATAAAGTTTTTGGGAATCTGTCAGAACACCGTAAAACTTCTAATATAAAAGGACCCTACACTGTCAAGTTTGAGCTTAATTATTTCGGCTTCTATGTAAGATATGAAAAATGTGTCAACTGATAAAATGCTTGTGATTTTATGATTATTGATTTTTATATTTTTCTGTTATTCCAGGAATCCCAAAAAACCGCTCATTTCTCGGATGGGCCGATGAGAATCCTCTTCAAACAGCCAATATTCATCAATACACGGATGCTCTTCCAATGTTCATTGGCTCTTTTCTAGTGTGGCATTATATGATGTCTATGGTCTTTTTTGTATTTTTCTATAACCTCGAAAGAGTGGTTGCGACGTTTTTGTTGGGGTAATGGCCTTGATTTTCAAGGAAATGGAAGTTTTCGATTTTCAGAAGCTACGAAAAACAGAGTCGATCTCACATCTCCATATCCATTTTAATAATTGCCAACATTCTTACTCTCAAAATATCCTATATGCTATTTTATTTTCAAATTGGTTTCAATGCGAGCGTTGTGATTTGTTCTGGAGCAGTTGTGGTTGCTATGGGGGTAAGAATCACTGAAATTCATTTTGAAAATAAGTTTGAAAATATTCCAGATGTACCTAACTGTCATGTCTTATAATTTGCGACTTCATAATGAGCTGAAAAATGACACAGCTAGGAAAAGGTTGAAGAAGTTTGAAAAGTATTCGCTAGCATATCGATTTCAGTTGGAGGAGAATTTGAAATGTTTTGAGGTAAGTTTAGTTGAAATTATAGAGGTTTTCTTCTAAATTTATTGAGTGCATATTTTACACAAGCAATAAATCTACAATACCAGTAAATAAGAAATACGAGCACGTATTTTTCAGTAGATTTTCGGCTATTTTTACCATTTTCAGAAGTCTGGAGCTCGGCTGTTTTCCGATCATTTTGAAAATTTTGGAGGGTGTAAAACAGACCTAGAGTGAAAACTTTGTATTCATAGAGTTTTTTAAAACTCCGAGTTTTCCATCCATTTGCCGACTTTTGAAATAAACTTGTTTTTTCAAGTTTTCAGTACAGAAACGAGCAAAAAATAAGGTATTTTTCAGAAATCGGCAGATAGCTGAAAAACTAGGAATTTTCAAACATTTCTGTCAATGCAAAGTTTTCAATTCTAGGTTTTACACCCTCTAAAACTTTCAAAATGGTCGGGAACTTGAAAACCGAGCCCCAGATTCCAGAAAATGGTCAAAATCAGCTGAAAACACTTTTTTTAACATCTCAATGACCGGTACTGTACATAAATCAGGCAAGGTAGCCGAGGGCTGTGTAAACGCTAATCTTTGACTTTAGAAAAAATCTGATTTCCCTCCTTTAACCCTATTATTTCCAGCTTGTCAAAAAAGTGATCCTCGCCATCGGCATCTACATTGTCCTAAACATTTTCTGTGTAGCTCTCATCAATTCAAATTATTTTTCCGCTTCACTCAACCAAACTCTGGTATTTTTAGTGGAAAATTGTTTACTGCTGTGAGAGTTATTTTTTAGATTTTTCATTTTCCTAACAAATTCTTCTCAGAAACCCTTTGCTCATTTGCACCGTCACCATGTGCTCCGTCGAACCGTGGCGTGTGATTCTGCTCCAAGACATCGATTATGTGCTCGGTGGACTTGGTCTCAAAAAGTTGGGGAAAATTCAAGACATCAAAAAAGTGCCGGAGAAGTCGAAGGAGGGGAAGATTCTAGAAGAGACTAATATCTATTTTCGTGATTTGGAGACCATGTGGGCTTGATTTGGGAGGAGCGTACTGTAAAACCTGTAATGGAAGTTCAAAACGAGGGAGCCCTTCTATTACAGGTGTCACGGTATCTGACCTTTTCTGAAGATAATTTTGTGATTATAAATGTTCTGAAGAAAGCCTTTTCGTATAGTTTCAGCACACTTAAATGCTGTTTCCAGACATGATTCGGTAGGTGTGACGAAACTGGAACAGGTGAAAATGGATATAGATTTTTGAGCTTACAGGAAGAAGAAAGTGGTCACATCTACCCTGACTAATCCATCCATTTTCAGTTGCTCCAGTGATTTCAGCCCCTCATGATCATTAAAATAATAAACCCTTCTAATGACCCTTACTTTATTTGTCTCCCTGTATATTTTTACACCGAATCTGACTCTATTGCTAAACTCATCAGCTTTATTGAACTTATACTTTACACTTTCTGCTTTTACACTTTATCAATAAAACTACAAATCTATCTGAAATTCCGGATTTTCCATAGAAATTTTGTGATTTTAAGTGTGCCTATTTTTGGACTATGGTATGAAGCGATACTTGCCAAACTGATTACAATGGCTTATCAACTGAAATTCCTATCTCCTGGATATGAAATTGGAGAGCATGTGGCAATGTGGACCCAAAATCCGAAGAAAATGTTGATTCTGAATTCGTTGGATGGGTTGGAGTTGTTACTTGTCGCCGGGTTTCTGGAGTGGCATTATATTTTTTCGATGATTTTTGGAAGTTTATCAGTTTGTATAGAGAGAGTTTTGGCCTCGATGTGGATCAAGTAAGATTACTTTTTTTGCAATTATGGATGTTAGAAAAAAAACTACTGTAGGTTATTTGTAGTTTAGGGTGGCTGACTTTCAACTTTGGCCAAGTTATCTCGGTTCCTGTAAAATATATCAAAAATCTTTGTCAACTGATAAAATGTTCATCATAATATCAGCAAAATATTATCAGCTGATCAATTTCTTCTATCTTTTAAAGGAACCGAGATAAATTGGCTCAAAATAAATAGTCCAGGTGTAAATTGTTTAGAGGTTTTAAAGTGAAATCAAAAAAACTAAATTTCGGAACCCAAAAATATAAAAAGCTCGGTATCTGTATCTGTTCCAAGTTTTCTACAAACTTCTAAAATTTTAAAACTTTAAAAAGTCCAAAATTTCGGAAATTTGGAAAGCGGTAATTCTTTAACTCTGAAAATTTCTGAATGTTTCAAAATTCCAAAAATCGTCCAATTTTTGGAAAATCCACAACTTCGGAAATCCAAATAGTGAAAATTCTCAAGAATATGAAAAATTGTAAAATTCTTTTAAAAATCCAAAAATGTTTTTTAGTTTTCGGAATTTTTGAATTTTCGAAATTTCTAAGTTTTCTGTGTGTTTTGGACTTTCTAGATTTTCGATGTCATTGGATTTTTCCGTACCGTAGTTTTGGCTAACATGATCACGTCAAAATACGGGCAAATCCCTATAAGCTAGACAAAAAATTAACTGAAGTTTACTTAAAAACGCTAGAAAAAGACTGAAAAATTGAAAAATTATGAAAAACCTTAGGAAACGAATTGGTGCATAATTAACCGGACTAAAGTGCGTGGTACCGTAGAATTTGAGCAAAGCGTTGTACTGTGCTCGTATTTAGAGTACGAAAGTTCTAATCTTCCATCAGTAAACTGGGCAAGTTTCAAATTATTTGATCAACTTTGAGCAGAGTTATAGGTTGTCAAAATTGCTCCATTTCATGAAAGTAACTTTGGAATTTTTTTTTCTACAGTCCATCTTTGGACAGTCATAAAAATACCTAACCTTGATGAACCACTTTGGAAATTTTAGTAGCTTTGAGTCAAACTTATAATTATATTTCTACCAATTTTGGTGTTTCCAAGATACTTATGTCAGAAGATATGGCTCCTGGACGTTTCAGAACCCGACTTTTCGGAACCACGACGTTTCAGAACCCGACAGTTCAGAACCCGACAGTTCAGAACCCGACGTTTCAGAACCCGACGTTTCAGAACTTTTATGCATTTTTGTATAGTGGTTTTTGCGCACCAGATGAGCATTGCTCATTTCAATTTTGTGTTTTTCTGCTTTTTATTCATTCTGATCTACCGTACTCCAAATGATGATAGGTTCACACTGGGTATCTCTCAATAATTCGAAAAAATTGAACTTTTTAAGAACGATGTCTAGAAGTACGCAATAATTTTTCCGGTGAATAGAAGTTTCATTTTGAATGGTTTTATTAATGACATCGTTTTTTAAAAATTCAACTTTCTCGATTTTTTGAGAGATTCCCAGTGTAACCTATCATTATTTGGAGTACGGTAGATGAGAATGAACAAAAAAGCAGAAAAACACAAAATTGAAATGAGCAATGCTCATCTGGTGCGCAAAAACCACTATACAAAAATGCAGAAAAGTTCTGAAACGTCGGGTTCTGAAACGTCGGGTTCTGAACTGTCGGGTTCTGAACTGTCGGGTTCTGAAACGTCGTGGTTCCGAAACGTCGGGTTCTGAAACGTCCAGGAGCCGAAGATCTACCCGTTTTAAACTGTCTGACTGCCACCCTGTAAAGAGAACTTTGACCTTCAATTATATGTTTTGGTCCATCCAAAACCAAAAATCCTATTTTTCAGGCACTACGAAAAGAACAAAAAACTCTATATTCCAATATCTTTAACCCTTGTGACCCAGTGTCTAACAATTGCCGTCTCCTTCACAATGTTCTATAATCACGTAAATATCATAGCTGCTAATCTGATCTGGATTATCACCTGTATATTGGCAAGTATTGTAAGAACACTCTACAGTAATCACTAAACTCAACATTTTGGTTTTCAGATGCATTTCATGATCAAAAAGACCAATAAAGACTGGGAGAAACAAATGAAGAATCCGCGACGATTGGATATTTTTACAATTTCCAAACAGTTTCAGGTTAAGGAGAATTTGAGAGCAATCGCGGTATTTATCATTTCTTATCACTTCGAGAGCACAAAACAAATATTTTCAGCTTTCTGAAAAACTGCTTCAATCAGTTTTTGGAGTTATAGCAGTTGGTGGAATCGGAGTGGTTATTCTAATTCTAGAATTGGTTCCTCCCTTTTTCTGTCACTTTTTGGAGAACACTATTTTCTTGTATGTCGAAAAACGCAATTTCTTAAAAATCGATATTTTCCAGAAATCCTTTTCTTGTATGCTTCCTCACAATGTACAGTCATCCAGCTTGGAAATCTGAATTTCAAAAAGCATTTCCTTCGTTCAAAAGAGTCAGAAGATCTCCGAAAGTTGATGTGGAAAGTGTGGAGCCATTTGATGGGCTACAGAAAAAATCCGTTGTCGAGACAAATATGTATTTCCAACAATTGAATGATTCTTGGATTTAGCTTTTTTTTAACTTCCTTAGATGAAATTTTCGAATTCTTGGTTTCCTTAATGAAATTTGGCCTGATTAGTTAGGACAGCTGAAATAGTGTGATTTGTGAATTTCTGTGACAAAGGAAATCTGATTTATTTAATTCCTGACTAATTAAACTAAGGTTCTGATGTAAGATGATATGGGCAAGAGGTAAGATGATATGGGCGGGCTGGGCAAGGATTATGAAAGAGTTAGGACAGGATAGGGCAAGGGTTGTGCAAGGGTGGGCAAGGATTGGGCAATAGTTGGTAAAGCTGTGGTAAAGGTTGGGCAAGGGTTGGGCAAGGATTGGGAAAGATTTGGGCGAAGCATGAGCAAGGATTAGGCAACTTTTTCAAGATTTGAGCAAGACTGCGGCAAGTGTTTGACGAGGTTTGGACAAGGGTTGAACAAGAATTAGGCAAGGTTAGGGTAAGGATTGGACAAAGGTTAGGCAAGAGTTAAGCTAAAGTTGGGCAAGTGTTGGACAAGGTTTGGGCTAGGGCTGGGCAAAGGTTGGTCAAGAGTTGGCAATGGTTGGACAGTGCTGATTCCACGATGGTGTGTCGTTGCTTCTAGGGCATTATCATGTCCCGATCTCTGGAGTTAAACCGCTGATGAAAAAAACTTGGGCATGCTGCTTATAAAGTCCCGAAACAATGAATAACTCAAAATTAGACTTTGTCTCTGAAAATTTATGTGATGCTACAAAAGCATTACGGTAAATCACATCCGGACAAGTCTTGGGTAACAAGATTCGGAGAAGCGGGGGCAAGATATGGGCAAGAGTTGGACAATAAAAATTCAACGATGTTTTCCGATGGTTTTCGGGCAAAAGTATGGCAAGTCTTGGGCATCTTTTAATATTGACCCAAATCAATCTGCAAGCTATTGACATCTTGCCGAAAGGTCCTGGAACGAATTTGATGAGCGTTTTCGTTTTCTTCCTCTGAAAATGTATTTGATCCTATAAAAATCTTATAGAAAATCAAAAAATGTGAAAAGGTTCTGATTCCGAAAAATTATGATTTCGAATTTTGGTAAAACAAAATTTATGGCCAATAAATAGATTTCAAAATATTTTGAAGCTTTTATTTTAAGACCTATAATAATTTTAAGTTTCAGACTACAAAATTTTTTTTGTTTATACAAATTCCCCAACACAAGAAAAAAATCACATCATTCTGAAACATAATTGCCCGTTTTCAGAAAGATTTCAAAAATCTCCTACAACAGACATATGGAATTCTGAAAACCAATTAACACACGTTTCCCAGCTCAACTTATTCCTGCGACAATCATTCTCTCCAGTTGAGGCGTTTTGGAGAAAGCAGGTGTAAAAGCGCCAACACCTTCAAGGCTATAACTTCGATTTATTCTTTTAGTTTTCAAAATTTCTCAAATGTTGATAAAAGTGACGCATTCTGAGAACCTTATCTCTTATTTCTGGGTCCCCCTGTTCTTCTATGATGAACCATACTGGATTCAAATTCTCAACACTTGTATTGAATTAATTTTATATGTTGTCTCTGGTTATGTTGTATTGGTCTCTGTAAAAATTATGTTCAAAGTTCGACTGTTCCATAACAATCTAGTTTACATTGGAACCCCAATTTTCGCATTATGGTATACTTTGATAACTGGAAAATTGATTTGTATTGCTTATCGATTGAAAATTATAATTTTGGATATTGAATTGGGAGAACAAATTACTCTATGGACTGCTGATTCCCTAAAAATGGTATCTGTAGAATCTACACAAGGTTTGGAGATTCTATTAATAGGCGGATTTTTGGTTTGGCATTTTGGGTTTTCGCTGGTTTTTGGCGCTTTCGCAGTTATTATAGAACGAGTTATTGCATCGATGTTAATCAAGTAACCGAATTTTGTATTCAATTTTATTATCAAAGTTTTCTTTTTTTAGCAACTACGAGTTGAACGACAGCTTGACTATTCCTATCGTTTTAACTGTAATTTATCAATTTTTTGCACTGAAAATATCCTTTTTATTGCTTTTCAACAAATTTGGGCCAATTACTTTGATAGCGTTGGTGGTGTTTTGCTTCGGAGTCTCAACGTTTGTGAGTTTTAAATATAAGCACCTAGAAACGTCAACTGTGAGCACAAATATCTCGGTCTATGTGAAAGATATCAAAAATGTGTCAACTGAAAAATCTTTATGATAATATGATAAACAAGTTATCAGTTGATCACTTTTTATATCTTGGACAGGAGCCGAGATAAATAAGATCGAACTAAAAGTATAGGGGCCTTCTATGAGAGTTACAAAAATTGGAAAAAAAAACCTGAAACCAGAAAAAAAAATAGACAAACAAAGTTTACAAAAATGGCATGTAGTGAAAGAAGAGAATTCTACTCCGCGGGAGCAATTTCTAAAAAAAGTTCGAGTTTTTTTTTCGGTTTTCAGCCTAATTTTCGAGAAATGTGCAGTAACTCGACCTAAATGTGCAGTAACTCGACCGACACTTCAAAAAGCTCGTTTTCCCAATTTTCTTATATTAGGGAATTCCAAATTTGCAAAGTTTCTTTTCTGTGATTACCGTAAATCCTGTATTAGAAGGACCCCTTTGATAGAGAAGCCCCTCTAATAAAAGGTTTTCTCTGATATAATGGATTAAAAACATAGATGGGCCCGTTGAAAATGTTGTCTTTGAAATTAAAAATTTTCGAATGTTTTTAAAGGAATATATTCCAGAAAATCCACAAATTCACAGGAATTTTTTGAAAAACTTGCTCAATTTGGTGGAATTGATACAGATTTTCATGAATTTTGATAATTCAGCGAATTTTTGATAAAAATTTTCGGAAAAGTGACCGGATAAATTGGAGAGCCCTCTGGAGGTACCATGGAGCATTAGAAGAGCCGGCCTTTCTAATACAGGTTTTACGGTATTCCTTATTTTCTACTCGTGCCACTTCCGAGAAATCTCGTTTTCAATGTTCCAAGATTCGAAACAATAATTCAAAAAATCAGCATGCAATTCCTTTAATTAAGTTCAATTTTCTGAGAAATCTGATATTTGTTTTTTTTTTCCAGATGTACTTCTATATAAAACGAATCAACGAAAAATGGCTGGCGGAAATGGAAGATCCGCGTCGAAAAATAACGTTCACAGTTTCTCAACGATTCCAAGTTCGAGAAAATTTAAGAGCAATTGGCTTTGGAAAACGGATTGTTTACACTGTTATGTTTTCTTTGGCAGTTATAGGATTTGGAATTTTAGCTCTTTTTTATGAGATCGTCTCACCATTTCTTCTTCATATTGGAGAGAATCTGATGTTTTGGTGAGCTTGAAAAGTTTTAATTTGAAAAGTTAATTTACATTTCCAGTCATCCGCTATTTGTGTGTATTGTTACAATGTATGGACATCCTACGTGGAAGGCGAAATTCAGAAGAGCATTTCCGCGATTTCGATTCAAAAAGGCACCGATCAGGGTAACTTCGGTGGATATCGTGGAGGATAATACGAAAAAGTTGTCATTGGAAACGGATATTTATTTTAAGCAATTGAAAGATTTATGGGTCTAAAGTTTATTTATTTTTCGTTGACGATTGAATAAAATTGTTTTTACGTCATCAGCCGAATATCTTAAATCAGAAAAAAATAGGATCTTTCACAGCATTAAAAAACAAAAACGGAATTCAGTTATGGAAAAAAATTTTTTGGGTCCAATTCGAACCGTCGCTGCACACCAGCCCAGGAGTGGGCGAGGACGGGAGAAAAACCTTCACGGTTTGCAAAATTTTCTCGTTTGATGTACAAATCGAGATTAAAGGCGCACGCGATTTCCCCGAAGGGTCTCGACACGAAAATGGCGGGAACTTGAAATTTGGTTTATTTTTCAACTAAGAGCTGTCGGGTAGTCATTCCCCGCAGCGGCCGACACCTCCCGGGTTCCAGCCCGCTCACGGAAGCACAAGAGGCGCGCCAGACAGTGTTTTAAGTTGGGAACGATCAAATGAAGATGGAAAAATTTTTTTTTTTAAATAGTGTTTCCAGAATGAAATAAATCGTAATATCAATTCGACACTTTAACCCCACTAGTCTGATTGGGTCATATACTCCAATTTCGAGGTTCAATTTTCCATAGTACTTCCCAAGGGATAGCATATTGTCAAGCATTTTTTCACATCTGAAACAAAAAATGACTTGTTCACAGACTTCATGACATATATTTGTCATTGTTTCCCAAGAGATTCTTACTATTAGAAGACCTTATGTTATACCATCGTTAATCTAGATGACAATCTAAAACAGAAACAATAATTAACGACCCAGTTTACGATTGTCATCTTCACCTTGTTTTACAGCTCATCTAGGTGAAGGAGGATGACAAATAGATCAATGGGCGGGGTCAATTTTCTGTATATAAGTAGGACCAGATTCCTCATTCCTTACGCGTTCTCACACGAACACTTCTTGTCTTTCTCTATCGACCTATTCGTAAAGATGTCAACTGTTGCTTCTACTTCTTCTGCCTATTCCTTCAAATACTTCCCACGTTATGGTCAATGGACAAAGGAGATGCAAATGGAATTGGATGAGCATTCTCGTCAAATGGCAAAGCTGATGATCCATGTTCAAGGACTATACAAATCCAAGAAGCAATCGAAGAAGGATCAACAGAAAGAGGATACCGATGCCGATTGTATGGTCCACTCAGAATCTCCGACCTCTACACAGCCATATTCTTCTGAAGCCTCATCATCGTCGATGTCTTCACAACAAGAAATGCAGAATCACTATTACCAGGACGAACAATACACTCAATTTCAACAGATGTCAATGGAACAGTTCTACCCACCAGCAAACTACACAGTCTACTTCCAGCTGATTCAATACACTGCAGAGGGATTCGAACAAAATGGATGTTCTTATTTTCAATATTAATAACTTTTTTCAATTTTTATATGTATTTAATTAATAGTAAGGCTTATTAACTTTCTTTAATAAATAACTGGTTAATCCTGAGGTTTTCTTTGACGATTAATCAACACATTTCAAGATTAAAAACCAAGATTGACTCTTGTATCCAGTTCGCATCCGAAGACAACAGTAAGAAAGCAATTATTACATTAAACAACGCACGCAAAAATTTCTAGCAGTAGAAAAGTGGTAATGGAGATTAACCAACAGTAGTGATAAATGTGATATTTTGAGGATCTAGATGAAGATCGTGTGGTTTTCGGAGACCAATGTTGATTATTGTATTGTCTTTTTTTGCTAACAACAGATGAATTTTATTTTGAAGTGATCATCTTTATCGTTTTTTGTTTACGACACATATTTTCACTTCGTTTTTTTTTTGTTCCCATGATTTTCACTTCGATTTCCTTCATTTCCATTTTTTCACTTCTGTTTTTTTTATTCCCATTTTTTAGGAAGTTTTTTTTTCAATTCCCAAATTTTCATTTCGATTTTTTCACTTTGATTTTTTTGTCTAATGGATTACTGTACATTATGTTTGGAAATTCACTGAACACAATTTATCAGCTTAATGTTTTTTAATCAGTGTCCTGATCATTCATCTTTTTTTTTTCGTCACTCGTTTCCTATTCATTCCAGACATTGTAGTCTTTCTGATTCCAGAAAATTCTGTCAATAATAAAAAAACCTACCTTTTTTCATTTTTGTTAAAAATTCATTATTAACATTGGTTAATTAATTGTTTTTTTTCCTATATATCCGGATATGCAGGTGAAATAAATTCAAAAATATTTTCTAGACTTTGAAGTTTGCCCTTCACCCACGATAAAAAACAAGCAGAATAATTGAGGCAGGGTTATTCTGTCAAAATTATTCATTATCCCGACTGCGTAAAAGTCCTGATTCCAAGAATTGAGTCTCCCCATAATCGGCAGGTGTTGCTGCTTCAAGTACTTTTTTCCTTATTTTCTGATTTATTTTACATCGTTTTGGAAGAAAATGATCATCAAAAATTTGGATCCCTCAACAAAAATTCCTTATCTATGGCTTCCCCTTTTCCTATACCCAGAATCGTTTTCTGTCAGTATTACTATTATTTCCATTGAACTATTTTTATACATAATTTGTTTTTATATAGTAGCTGTTAGCCTAAAAATCTTTGTCCAAGTTCGAATGTTTCATTTGAATTTTATAATTCTGGCGGCTCCAATTTTTGGAATTTGGTTTGAATTGATTATTGCGAAGCTTATCACAATGGCATATCAAGTGAAGTTGTTTTCACTGGGGATCGAAATCAATCAATTTTATGTTTTATGGACGGAAGATCCGGAAAAAATGTTAATTGTCGATTCTTTCAAAGGGCTGGAATTATTAATTTTGGCTGGATTTATGGAATATCATTACATGTTTTCTATTGTTTTTGGAGCTGTTGCAGTTGCTGTTGAAAGGATTTGTGCGTCAGTTTTGATTGAGTGAGTTTAGAAAATTTATTTAAAATTGAGCCAAGATTGAACAAAAATAGCTGAAAAAATTTGATTGCGATAATTGAATAAAAATACTGCTCAAATTTCTAGAACATTTTTTGAATAAGATTTTGCAAACAGAGAATTTATAAAAGTTTGAAATTTGACAATAGAAAAAAATTGCAATTTCTAAAATTTAAAGGTTTCTGAAACTGATAGTTTTTCAAATTTTAGTTTTCAAGCAAATTTACTGTAAACACTTTAATAGAAGGCCATCCTATGTGTTTACTTTGAGCTCAATTATCTCGGCTCCTGTAAGAGATAAACGAAATTCGTCAACTGATAAAATGCTTATCATATAATATCACCAACATTTTATCAGTTGACACATTTTGATATCTCTTGTAGAAATTTAGATAATTGAGTTCAAAGTTTAATCATAAGGTGGTCTTCTATTCGGCTTCAGTGGGTACGGCACTGGACAGAAATATATCATTTTTGGAATTTTCCAGTGGAAAATGATCAACTTTGGAGTCCTACAACAGTAGTACAGAATTTTTCCAATTTCCCTGAAAATTTCAGAGTAATTAGGGCTTCAGTTTTGTAATTGACAATTTTTTGTAAAAGTTCAAGAACATTTTAAAGACAATGGAAAAGTTCTGGAATATTTTTTCAGAAATCTAAAATTAATAACTTTTCACTGAAACAGTAAAAAAATGGTATGTTTTTGTCTGATACTGTACTTGAATGTTAACATTTTGGAAGATCAGAATTCTAAAACTAACACTTTTAGAAACTTTCTACTTGAAAACTAGCATAAACCCCGTAAACCTTTCTTCTGGGATTCTTAATCTCAAACTCCAAGAAAATCCTTCTTTCAGCAACTACGAATCAACCAAAAAAGTCTTCATCCCGATTCTTCTTACAATCATCGTTCAAATCCTCGCAATTTTCGTTTCCTCTCTAGCCATTTTCTATAAATTCGACATCATTTCAATCAATGCCACGTGGATTGTCAGCTGCATTTTTTCGTCTGTGGTGAATATTCCGAAGGGTGTATTTTGTGATATTCTAATGATTTCAGATGTTTCTCCTCGTTGAGCGAATCAATGAAAAATGGAGAGCCGAGATGGAGAATCCTCGACGGACCCGGAATTTTACGATTTCTCAAAGATTTCAGGTCAAAGAGAATATCCGAGCATTGGATGTAAGAATTGGGATTATAATAAAGACTTGAATTTTTGAATTTCAGCTTGGGAAACGCTTGATTTTCTCAGAAATCGGCACTATTTCAATAATTGGCACGATAATAGCTGCACTTTTGTTGGAATTGGTACCCCCTTCATTAGTTCATATTGCAGAGAATGCACTTTTCTTGTGAGCGCTGCTTAATAAGATTTTTGATACCTGACATTCAAATTTCCAGGAATCCATTTGGAATCTGTACAGTTGCCATGTTCAGTATTCCGGCCTGGAAGAAAAGATACAAAAATGCATTTCCAACATGTTGCCAATGGAGATTAAGGCCTTCTAGAGTGGATGTGGAAAGTATGGAACCGATGGAAGAGTTTAATAAGAGAATATCTATTGAGACAGATATGTATTTCAATCAATTGAATGAATCTTGGATTTGAGAGAATTTTGTGTAAATTAGAAGAAATTGAAAAGAGTATAAACAATATGAAGAATTGTCAACTTTGAGCTCATATATCTCGGTTCCTATCAAAGATATGAAAAAGATGTCAACAGATAAAATGATTATCATAATTTCGAAAGTATTTTATGAGTTAATCACATTTTGATATGTTCCACAGGAACCGAGAAAAATAGGCTTAAAGTTAAAAGTTAAGAGGATGAGCCGTTTTTAGAGTGTTGCAAACTGTGGAAATTTCGTTTTTTGCAGTAATAATTCCGACACAAAATAATACATTAGAAATTGAAAAAAAAATTTTAAAAATGACAATTTCGATCCAAAAAACCATACTTGTAACGGGCCGGGCCGGGCTTTTTCCCGAATTTCGGAGGCCCGGCTGGCCTGTCATTCCACAAGTTCTGAAAATTTCAAAAAACACATAAGGGGGACCCTTATGTGATTTTTTTCGATCAAAAAATTTTTTCGAGTTTTTTTAAATATTTTTTTATCAAACAGACAAACAATCCAAAAAGCACAAAAAAAATATAGAAAATTGTATTGAGAGCTCAAAATTCGGTTCAAAATGACAAAATTTTTGCTATCGGGCCTTCCGGGCCGGGCCCGGGCCTTGAAATTTTCCTCAGGCCCGGCCCGGAATTTTACAAGTATGCAAAAAACAGAAACCCTGATCAAATAGAAATTGAGCCAACTAATTTGGACATGAAGGTTTTCGAGAATTTTCAAAAAAAAAAGAGTGTCGGTCTGTTTCTGGTAATTTTATGGAAATTTTTTAAAACCAATATCAGCTTTTACCAAAGTCAGGTTTGAAAAAAAAAATGTTGTGGATTTTGAAACTGATTTTTGAAACAGGATTTTGAAACTACCGTAATACCTGTAATAGAAGGGCACCTCAAATTTCAACTCTCATCAAATTTTTTTCAGTTCCTGTCAAAGATATAAAAAAGTGATCAACGGATAAATAGTTTATCATAATATCAAAAACATTTTATCAGTTGACACATTTTTGACATCTTTTACAAGAACCAAGATAAATTGGCTTAAACTTGACAGTGTGTTGGCTCTTTTATTACAGGTTTTACGGTAAGAAACACCCAATTTTTAATTAGATCTTTCTATATTTGTATCTTGATTTTTGGTTAGTAACCTTACAATTTTTTGTTATGATATCTTATTAGTTGCTCGCCATTTTCGAAAAGCCAAATGTGCTGAACTTCTTCAAAACAAAAAACATTAGAATTTAAAAGCATTTCCTTCAAACACTTTTGTCTATAAAATTTTCCACATGATATCATAAATCACAGTTTTCCCTAACACCTTCCGCCAAAAAAATCTAATCGAAGTTCTGGCAAAAAAAGTTCAGGCAGCTGATTGTTCTTCTAATTTTTTATTAGAACTCATTCTTTTCCGACTGCTAAACTTCCTGAAACTGACTAAGAAATGATTATAAAACTTCTAAAATCTTCTGGAAACTATTCTCTATTATGGCTACCTGTATGCTTTTATAGCGAGTCTGAAAATATTCAAATACTAATTTCAATTATAGAATTATGTCTTTATGGAGCATGCTTCCATTTAGTAACAATTAGCATCTATGTGATTTTGAAAATTCGAATGTTCCATAGAAATCTTTATATTCTGGCCATCCCAATGTTCGCTCTATGGTATCCCCTAATTATTAGTAAATTGATTACTATTGGTTATCAATTAAACTGGATAAGATCAGATATTAAAATTGGAGAGCACGTGGTGATTTGGACTGATAACCCAGATAAAATGCTGGAAATCAGGACGTTGGATGGTCTGGAACTTTTAATTGTCGCAGGATTCGTTCAATGGCATTATATGTATTCTATCATTTTTGGGGTGTTAGCAATAGCAGCTGAAAGGGCAATTGCGTCGGTTTTGATTGAGTAAGCTCATTTTTTTCTAAATCGATTTAGAATATCTCAAATTATCCATTGACACATTTTTGAAATTCAGAAGTTCAGAAATTCAGAAATTCAAAAATTTAGAAATTCAGAAATTTAGAAATTCAGAAATTCAGAAATTCAGAAATTCAGAAATTCAGAAATTTAGAAATTCAGAAATTCAGAAATTCTGAAATTCTGAAATTCTGAAATTCAGAAATTCTGAAATTCAGAAATTTAGAAATTCAGAAATTCAGAAATTCAGAAATTCAGAAATTTAGAAATTCAGAAATTCAGAAATTCAGAAATTCAGAAATTCAGAAATTTAGAAATTCAGAAATTCAGAAATTCAGAAATTTAGAAATTCAGAAATTCAGAAATTCAGAAATTCAGAAATTCAGAAATTCAGAAATTCAGAAATTGTAGGGCCCTTGAAATACATGGGTCCTTCTATTTTTTCAAGCCCATCCCTGAGGGCTCTCTTATTAGAGGGGGCCCTTCTAATACAGGGTTTACGGTAAATGGTGACCGAGGGGTTGAAAGTATTAGGGTAAAAAGATAATCTCTAAGCACCCTAAAATAGTTTTCAGGAACTACGAATCCAACACCCAACTCTTCATTCCCTACCTTCTCACAGTTATCTATCAATTTTTTGCGATTTTCACATCATTATCAGTTTTGTTTCATAAATTCAATACAATTGCATCACATATCCCATGGATTTTGAGTTGTGTCATTGCCGCTTTTGTAAGTCTGATTTTTCAAAGTTTCTGACGTTTCGTCTTTGATTTTCAGGTGTATTTATTTGTCAAGAAAGTAAACGAGTCGTTCAGAAGAGAAATCAAAAGTTCGAATAGAAAAAGAGTCTTCACGATTTCCCAACAATTTCAGGTTAAGGAGAATTTGAGAGCGTTAAGGGTGCGTGATTTATTTGGCATTTCAAAAATCCTTCGATTTATAAAAACTTGATTCAAACTTTGAATTTTAAATTTTTTTCGGTTATAGAGAAAATCAGAAATTTTTGGAAAAACATTTAAAACCTAAAAATGTTGTTTTAAAGCCAAAACAATCAACTTTAACTCTCTTTTCTTCATATTCACTTATTTTAACTAACTCTTTAGGCCATGACCTGGAAAACACAAAAAATTAGGTCGTGACCTAGAAAATCCTAAAAGTAGGTCATACCCTAGAGAATGAGAAAAACTAGGTCATGACCTAGAAAATTCAAAAATTGAGGTCATGACCTAGAAAATAATAAAACTAGGTCACGACCTAGGAAATCCAAAAAATGAGGTCGTGACCTAGAAAATTCAAAAATCGAGGTCATGACCTAAAAAAATAGTAAAACTAGGTCATTACCTAGGAAATCCAAAAAATGAGGTCGTGACCTAGACAATTCAAAAATTATTCAAAAATTAGGTCATGACCTAGAAAATTAAAAATACTAGGTCATGCCCTAGAAAATCCAAAACTTTTGGTCATGGCCTAGAAAATCCGAAAAATTAGGTCATGACCCAGAAAATCCCGAAATTAGGACATGACCTAGAAATCCAAAAAACTAGGTCATGACCTAGAACATTCAAAAATTGAGGTCATGACCTAGAAAATAATAAAACTAGGTCGTGACCTAGGAAATCCAAAAAATAAGGGCGTGAATTAGAAAATTCAAAAATTAGGTCGTGACCTAGAAAATTCAAAAAACTAGGTCATGACTTAGAACATTCAAAAATCGAGGTCATGACCTAGAAAATAATAAAACTAGGTCATGACCTAGGAATTCCAAAAAATGAGGTCGTGACCTAGAAAATTCAAAAATTAGGTCGTGACCTAGAAAATTCAAAAAACTAGGTCATGACCTAGAAAATCCAAAACTTTTGGTCATGGCCTAGAAAATCCGAAAAATTAGGTCATGACCCAGAAAATCCCGAAATTAGGACATGACCTAGAAATCCAAAAAAGTAGGTCATGACCTAGAACATTCAAAAATTGAGGTCATGACCTAGAAAATAATAAAACTAGGTCGTGACCTAGGAAATCCAAAAAAATAAGGGCGTGAATTAGAAAATTCAAAAATTAGGTCGTGACCTAGAAAATTCAAAAAACTAGGTCATGACTTAGAACATTCAAAAATCGAGGTCATGACCTAGAAAATAATAAAACTAGGTCATGACCTAGGAATTCCAAAAAATGAGGTCGTGACCTAGAAAATTCAAAAATTAGGTCGTGACCTAGAAAATTCAAAAAACTAGGTCATGACCTAGAACATTCAAAAATTGAGGTCATGACCTAGAAAACCCCTAAATTTTGCAGCTCGGCACTCGCCTCGTATTCGTTGTCCTTGGCACAATTGCCATTTGTGGCAGTGGAATGGCAGCATTAACATTTCAAATTATTCCTTCCTACTTTTCACACATTATCGAGAATTTTACATTTTTGTGAGCCTTTTTTGAGATTTTTAAATTTAAAATTTTCAAAGTTTTCCAGAAATCCCTACCTAATCCTTCTCACCGCAATGTTTAGTGTTCCGCAGTGGGAGAAGAAGTTTAAGAGAATGTTGTTAACTTGGCATTTTCTGAAAAAGCGAAGGAAATTTGTGAATGTAGAAATTGTGGAGAACTCGAAGAAGGATTTGGATATGGAGACGAATTTGTATTTTAAGCAATTGGCGGATTCTTGGATTTGATTATTCCTTCAATTACCGGAAACCCTCTAATAGAAGGGCAAATAACTTTTGACTTTGAGCCAATTTATCTCGCTTCCTATGAAAGATATAAAAAAGTTGTCAATTGATAATTTGTTTATCATAGTATCGTCAATAATTTTTTTAGTTAACACATTTTTGATATCTCTCATAGCAACCGAGATATTTTAGCTCAACTTGACAGTGTGGTGGGCATTTCTACATATTAGAAGTTTTAAGGTACCTTTTTTAATGATAAATAAATTTAAAAACATGTTTTTTTTGTGTAATAAATATCACCGACTGATAGACCAATGACAAATTACCAAAGCAGGTGCAATTCTATTACATAACTCTCAAAAAACTCACGGATCGACATTACCAAAAAGCATTTTCATCCCTAGTATTCTTTTCCATGATCATTCGAGTTTCAAAAATCTCTGGTCAATTCTCCGCTTATCTAATTCCAGTCTATCTTTACGATGAGCAATGCTCGATTTTCGTGTCAATTTTAGAACTCATCTTCTACCTTTTATGTGGTTACGTAGCATTTTCTAACCACCGAACATTTTTGAGAATTCGAATGTTCCATCAGAATTTTATAATTTTGGCAATTCCGATGTTTGGATTATGGTATGAGGTTATCATTGGGAAGCTTATCACGATGGCTTATCAGTTGGAGTTTTTGAAAGTATCAAGAGTGAAAATGAATAATTTTTATGATTTATGGACCAGTGATCCTGAAGAAATGGTTACTGTAGATTCTCTGGATGGTTTGGAATTGTTATTTTTAGTGGTTTTATACAATTTCATTATCTTTTCTCAGTTATTTACGGTGCAATTGCTCATTGCATTGAACGAACGATTGCTTCCCTCTTGATTAAGTGAGTGATAACTTGTCACTGATAAGGCAATTGACGTAATCCAATTGGCCAGGTGCTTGTCTAGAAGGGTTCTCGAAGACCAAAAATTTTCAGCAACTATGAAACCAATGAGAAACTTTACATCCCGATTGCGTTGACTTTTTTCACACAGTTCTTGGCAATTTTCACATCGTATGTCGTGCTTTTTGATAAAATCGACATAATTTATCTAATTTTTTTATGGATGGGAACTTGTGTCATTTCGTTGGTGGTAAGTTTTTAAGTTTGTGAATTTTTAGCGTTTCAAATAGGTTTTCTGGAAATCTAGATATTTTTAGACTTTAATAGAAAATGGCCAAAGTTGCTCAAATGGCTCAAAGTTCTAGAACATTTTTTAAATAAGAGAAAATGTTTGTGGAGATTAAAATTAAGAATCCCCTAAGGAAATGTGTGTAACGATTGCAGGTTGTTCTTAACAGTTAGCTTTAGAATTTTGATTTTCTGAACTTTTCAAACCGGTCAATAAGGGTAAATAATTCGAAGGGGACAACAATTTATGTAGGGGTTATTGGGGTACAAAGCAATTTAGGGGTACAAAATACCTGAAAAAATCCGAGTTTTGTACCCAGAATTGTGGATTTTGTACCCCTAAATCACTTTGTACATCCTTGTACCTCCGAATTGTTGTACTCTGTTATGTGCCGTCAATAAGATGTAATTTTATTTTTCAGTTGACTTTCGGCCATTTCGGCTGTTTTCTGGATTCTGTAGTTTGGATGTCAGGTTTCCGGCCATTTTGAAAATTCTGGAGGATGTAAAGCAGACCTAGATTGAAAATGTTGAATTCACAGAAATTTTCAAAAATTCCTAGTTTTTCAGCTATTTGCCGACTTCATAAAAACACCTGTTTCTCACGTTCTCAGTACAAAAAGGGTCCGATAGGGGTGTCTTTCAGAATCAGTGCTGAAAAACTATGAATTTTCTAAATATTTTGAGAATAATCTAGATCTGTTTAACAGCTTCTAAAATTTTCAAAGTTATCTGAATCTTGACAGCTGAGCTCCAGGCCCCTAAAAATGATCAAAAAATGGTCGAAATAAATGGCCGAAAATCAAACTTGGTTCTGAGATTCAACTTTCATTTCAGCTATTCTTCTGGCTAAAACACACCAATGAAAAATGGCTCTGCGAAATGAAGAGTCCGCATCGAAAACGAACTTTTACAGTTTCCCAGCGTTTCCAAGTCAAAGAAAATATTCGGGCATTGAAAGTAAGACCCATTTTTTTGAAAATCGATAATTTCTAATTTTTCAGCTCGGCAAGCGACTCGTTTTCGCTGTTCTGGGCACTATGATCATTTCCGGTTCTGGAATAATCCTCGTCATTCTTGAACTCATTCCCCAGTTTTTATGTCATTTTGTGGAGAATGCCGTGTTGTTGTGAGTGAATTTTTCAGCTGTTTCGAAAAAATAAGTAACTTTTTTTTCCAGAAATCCGTTATGGATTTGTCCGGTGTTCATGTACAGTTTGCCGGCTTGGAGGGACGACTTCCGGAGGGCATTTCCAAGTTTTTTGAAGAAAAAACAAAAATTGGGTACGGTGGATGTGGATGTGAAAGGGGTAGATGTGAAGAAGAGGATTTCAATGGAGACTGATGTTCATTTTATACAATTGAATGAATTTTGGACTTGAACTTTTTTGCACTGAATGAGACAACTGGACAAACAGATATACCATGAATCCTGCAATGGAAGGGTTCCCCGTTTGAGTCAATTTTTGTCGGTTCCTTTCAAAGACCTGAAAAAGTTGTCAACTGATAAATGGTTTATCATGAAATCACAATCATTTTATCAGTTGACACATTTTTTATAGCTGTCATAGGAGCCGAGATAATTGAGCTCAACTTGACAGTGTGAGTCATTCCCAATACAGGTTGTAAAACTTTTTGGAACGTTTAGATTTGGCCAAAATAGAAACTATGATGTTATCGATTGCTGGGAAATATTCTAACAAAAATTCTTTTTCTTTAATTGCATTTTTAAATGATAGAAATTTCGAAATTTGGGAATTTGTAAAAGATTCCAAGAGAATCCCAAAAGTTTCGAAAACTTAGGAAAATGACAAACTGTTCAATACGTTTAAACAGTTTATCCTATTTTTTCAAAAAATTTCAGAACGTTTCGAATTTTAGGAAATTCCAGACTTCAGAAAATGCTTGATTACAGAAAATTCAGGATTTCAGAAATTTTCGAATTTTTTTTTCTTTTTTGATTTCAGAAAATTTGGGAAAATTTGAGATTTCAGAAAATTTCAAATTTCAGAATATTTCAGGCTTCAAGAAATGAGCTTTCGAAAATTCCTAAGCCCAGGTAATTTTCTCGAAACTTGATTATTATACAAAGGAATTCTTCATTTTCAGATTCCCCGTTACTCCAAAAATCTCTAAAACTCAATCGCTTTGCACTTTACTCCCTGTTATCACCTGGCAAACTTTCAGACATTATTACCTAGTTTTGTAGTTTGTGAGAGCATTAAAATCATAAAGATCTCATAAAATTTCAAAAACTTTTTCCCCCGAAAACAGGTGAAAATAGTCCCACGAGTTACAACTGTTTCTCGTATTTTGCTTCTGATTTTTCATTGTTGCGAAAAAAAATTGTGAAGTTTTTGTTTCGAAAATTTAGACTCCCAAACCATATAATTATTTTAGTCATTCTTTATTTTTTCTGATTTTCTTTTTTTTTGTCATTCCACAGATTTCAGAATGATAATTCGCTTAAAATCTACAAATTCCACATTTTGGCTGCCAATCTACATAATGAACGACACATCCTTTCAATCTGGACCTTATCTTGTTTTATTAATTGCAGAGTTAATTTTATATATTGCCACTGGAGTAGTTATTTGTTCTACAGTAAGAATTTTTCTGAAAATCAAACTGTTCCATCGAAATATGAACATTATGAAAATGTTATTTTTGTGTCAATGGTTCGAGGCGATTTTAGCAAAATTGATTATTATACCCTATCAAATTGGGTATATTAAGTTGACAGGTTGGTTTCAAAAATATTCTCGAAATTTTAGAAAATCGGTTGTTAATCGATTTTTCTGGCTGTTTGTCTGAAAATTCCATAATTTTTCGAAAACTTGTTGGTGGCCTAGAGAACTCAAAAAAAGATTTTCGAACAGAAGTGCGTATAATCGAAAGTTCTATTCCGATATCCTAAAATCGGGAAACGTCGAGAAAAAACTCCTATTTTTAATTTGTTAGGTCACCAGGTCAAAATGACCTAAAAAAACCCCCATAAGGGGATTATTGGGCGGTTTCTAGGCTATTCACCATGGTGGCTTAGAAAACTCAAAGTTAGTCCACTATGTTAAATGTTGCCTAGAAAACACATCAGGTGCATGTCAGGTCATTTTAGGACTATTTACTACGGTGGCCTAGAAAAATCATTCTGAGAAAGTTAGGCCAACATGGTAGATGGCTTAGAAACCCCCCCCCCCCCCCAGATGATAATTGGGCCGTTTCTGGGTCATCTCCCATGATGGCCTAGAAAAATCAGGTTGAGAAAGTCACTCTATTCCTCACATGAAATATTTGGAATTCAAAAAAATTGGATACTTTTTCTCCATCTCTGAAACATGAAGATCCCTACCGTAATCTATTTCGAAACCCCAAATATTTTTCCAAAACAATTCCAGATTCTCCACAACCATTCGTCAGTTGGTGGTCAGACGACAACGCTGAAATTATAGTTATCGAAAAAGCGTCACCAATCGTCTATCCACTGATAATAGCCAGTTTTCTTGTTTGGCACTATGCGTACTCAATGATTTTTGGAATTTTGAATTTGGGTATCGAGAGAATTTTTGCGTCGGTTATGTTGAAGTGAGTCATTCAATTTTCAGGGTACTTGCAAATTTAAGCTCGTATATCTCGGTTTCTATGAGAGATATCAAAAAGTTGAAAACTGTTAAATTACTTATCGTGATATAACCAACATTTTATCAGTTGACTGATTTTTGCTATCTCTTTTAGGAACAGAGATAATTGAGCTCAAAGAGTACGAATAGGGTTGCAGATTTGAAAAGAAAATTTTCAGGGACTACGAGAATACCCGGAGGCTATGGATTCCAATAACACTTTTATGTTCTACTCATATTATAACTGGCGTGTTTTCTTACCTTGTTCTCATAAATTACACAGGTTTTTATATTGGAACTTCTCCATGTTTTGTGAATTCTGGATTAACATTTTTGGTAAGTTTTCTTGATTTAGGTCGATATTGGTCAACAGGGTTGTCCTGTACATAGTGTTCTTATTTCTAGATTACCATGGTGGCCTGGGAAACTCAGTTAGGCCATCATGTTAAAATAGGCCTAAAAAACACACCAGATGATTATCTATTCAATTCGAGGCTTTTAGGGCTTCCGGCACTTAGACTTCAGTAGAGACACTAGCATGATTTTGGGCTTGTCTCTGGAAATTAAATTTTTAGAACTCTGATGTTCAAATTTAGAAACTTACTTTCATAACTGTCATCCTACCATGATGGCCTAGAAAACTCCACTTGCAAAAGTTAGGCCAGCATTTTAAAATGGGCTAGAAAACGCACCAGGTGAGTATTGTGACAATTCCAGGCTATTTATCATGGTAACCTGGAGAAATCAACTTGAAAAAGTTAGGCCATCATGTTGACAAGGTCTAGGAAGTACACCAGTTAAATTTCTGCCTAATTCTAGGTCAAGAAAGTTGGTGGCCTAGAAAACCTAACTTGCAAAAGTTAGGCCACCATGTTAAAATAGCCCAGAAAATCCAACTTGGGAAAGTTAGGCCATCATGTTAAAACGGCCTAGAAAATACACCATGTGCATATCAGACCATTTCTAGGCTAAAGGAGGTGGTGGCCTAGAAGTCCCACCTCGCAAAAGTTAGGTCATCGTTAAAATGGCCTAGAAAAATCAACAGGTGAACTTCTGCCCATTTCTAGGTTGCAAAAATTATGTCATCATCATACTTGTAACGGGCCGGGCCGGACTTTTTCCCGAATTTCGGAGGCCCGGCCCGGCCCGGCGGGCCTTTCATTCCACAAGTTTTGAACATTTCAAAAAACAAGGGGGGGGGGCCCTTATGTGATTTTTTTTTTGGTCAAAAATTTTTTTCGAGTTTTTTAAAAATATTTTTTGATCAAACAAACAAACAATCCAAAAAACCAAAAAAAGATAAAAAAAAGAAGAAAATTGTATTGAGAGCTCCAAATTTGGCTCAAAAGGAGAAAATTTTTGCTACCGGGCCTTGAAAATTTCCTCAGGCCCGTGCTTTGACGGGCCGGCCCGGAATTTCACAATTATGGTCATCATGTTAAAAGGATAAAGCCAATTATGGTGACCGAGAAAAATCATGTTGAAAAAGTTCGGTCACTCTATTCCATCTAAAATTTTCGAGAACTGTCTGGAATTTTTTCCAAAAATGTTTCGAAAAATAACTTCAAAATTATCCGAATTTTTTTCGAGTTTTGACGTTGTTTAAACCGCTCCCAGATGTACATAATCGTGCTGAAAGTCAACAAAACCCGACGTAAAAAACTCGAATGTCCCGGATGCGACTATTCCCTTGCTCAGCAATTTCAAATCAAAGAGAACTACCGAGCGTTGAAGGTAAGAAGTTACTCAAAAATCAAAATAGATCATACACCAACGTTTTGGACCGGAAACAAAAAAATTCTGAAAACCTTTTCCACCTGGCTGATCTTCTTGATCTTTTACAATTCTCATGATTTTCACAGCTCGCCAAAAACTTGCTCATCGTTGTCTTGTGTGCAATGTCTGTTCCATGTGCATTGCTCATTCTGTTAGTCATTGGACTGATCCCTTCATTCAAAATGATTCTCATCCATATAATGGAAAATTCTATATACTTGTGAGTGATGAGGAAAAAACGGGAAAACTGGAAATTTTCAAAATTCAGGAATCCTATAATCATTTGCACTGTGCTCATGTTCAGCTCAACAGTTTGGAGGGATGAGTATCTGAAATTAATTCCGGGATGGAAGAGATTTCGAAAAGTTGGAATGTTCATCGTTCGGCCACGACCACATGTGGCTCCAGGAACATCAACAACCCCTCCTGACCCAGATGAGGGATTGGTCTATTTTGAGCAATTGAAAAAGTCATGGATGTGATTTTAATAAATTAATAAACGTTTATTATTACCTAATTAATTTTAGGATGGAAACTTGTATGAAAAGAGTTATGAAAAGTGTTTTTTAATCCTGGAATATTGATTTCTCAAATTCTGAAATCCTTAATTCTGAATTCTGGAATTCTAAGTTTTTGAGATTCTGAGATTCAGAGATTCTGAGATTCTGATATTCTCAGATTCTGATATTCTGAAATTCTGATATTCTGAGATTCTGAGATTCTGAGATTCTGATATTCTGATATTCTCAGATTCTGAGATTCTGATATTCTTAGATTCTGAGATTCTGATATTCTGAAATTCTGAGATTCTGAGATTTTGAGATTTTGAGATTCTGAGATTCTGAGCTTATGAAATATGAAAATTCAGAAATTCAAAGTTACATTCCACCCAAAAATCCAAGTTCACTTTCTTCTAAAAGTCAGAAGTACGAACATAAACAAATCAAGTGGCTTGAAACTCAATAATGGAACGTCAACACTTATAATTTTCTTGATCTAAAAACCAAAACTAAAACCCGAAGTTTACAATTTCACAAAATAAAATTTTGAATTTTTACACCTCAATGAATTTTTGGTTCCGGCTTCTAGAACTCAAAGCTCATCTCGATTTTTTTTTCATTTTTTCTGGTATGACCTAGTTTTTTTTCTGGTTCTTTTTGTGTTTTTTTCCTTTATTTTTTGTGAATCAGACAAAAAAACACGGAACAAAGAGAATCAGACTTGTTGTGTTTTAACGAGCTGGTTTATGTCGTAGTATTGTTTTTCTTTTGGAATTCAGGGTCAAACTATAAGTTTCAGAATTTTCAGAATTTTAAAATTTTAATATTTTTGAAATTCCGGATCACAGAATCTCAAAATTTCAGAATCTAAGATTTTTAGAATCTCTGAATTTCTGAATTTCTAAATTTCTGAATTTCCGAGTTTCTGATTTTCTGATGTCCTCAATTGTTGAATTTTTGAATCTCTAAATATCAGAATATCAAAATCTCAGATCCTCAGAAATTCGGTTTTCCAAAATTTCAGCACATTTTGCAAAACGCGTCACTTCCCTATTTCTTCAGACAAAAAACTAATATTCAATTATGACTTTTCCCTGTAATTTTTGCCCAATTTTCTTCACTTCATTTTAAAAAATCACATATCAGCATCATTTCAGCATTATGATCATCCAAATTCAAAACTCATCAGAATTCCTCTGGATTCCAGTTTTCACCCTAAACGATAGAATTTATGAATCCCCATTTCACTTATCATTTGGAACTTTTCTTCTACTTTTCTACGCACTTATAGCCTACATAATTATCAAAGTATGCACAATTTTCTTATCGATAAAAGTGTTCCACGAGAATATGAATGTTCTAATGGCTTGGTTTTTACTTCAATGGTTTGAAGCAATCCTGCCAAATCTGTAATAATTCCCTATCAAATTGGACTGATTTCGATTGGAATTGAGCCATCAAAAGCGTTTTGTTCTTGGTCCAGTTTCGAGAAAGATGTTTTAATTGTTAAAAATAAAGAAGAAATTATGCCTTTGTACATCGCCAGTTTCTTTTTATGGCATTATATGGCTTCGATATTGTTTGCAATTGTTGCGATTACAATTGAAAGAGTATGTGCGACGCTTTTTATGGAGTGAGTTTAATATTGTGTTTTTTTTTGGGATTACGGTATGCATTCTGACGTGACAGTGTACAGTGTTCAGTGTTGCAAAGATAAAAGATGGCCTACCTGTGTTTGAACGCAAGTATCTCGGTTCCTGTTAGAGATAAAAAACATTAGTCAACATTTTTTATCATAATATCACCAACATTTTTTTAGTTTACAAAACTTTGATATCTTTCATAGTAATTGAGATAAATTAGCGCAAAGTTCAAACACTGGGTGACAGGTTCTTATGAGAGATAGCAAGAATCTGTCAACTGATAAAATGTTTATCATAACATCATCAACATTTTTTATTTCAAAAAATTTGATATCTCTTATGTGGATTGAGATAATTCAGCTCACAATGCGAATACAGGGTGACAGCCTGTTTGAGAATTCACTCAAGCCCTGCCAACTTTGACCCTAATCATCTCGGTTCCCATGAGAGTTAGCAAAAATCTGTCGACTGAAAAATCTGAAAAATCTGTCGACAGTTGACATCTCATTTTCTATGATAAATTTCAAAAAGTAGAGAAGTGATGAAATGTTTTTCGTAATATCAGCAATAATTTATTAGTTCATCAATTTTTGATATCTGCCACAGGAAGCGAGATAATTGAGCTCAAAGTGCACTGACATATATTACAGCAAAAACGCTATTGCCAAATCCTTTTTTTTTTCTTCAAAAAACATTTCCAGAGACTACGAATCACGATCCCGTCGTTACATTCCAATCTTTCTTATCATTATCACCAATGCTATCACAATTCCCTACTCCTATTTCGTCCTTCATAATCGATTATCTCTTCTTTTATCTTATAGTCAAGGTGTTGCAAACGGAACTTTTGTATTTGTTGGATATTTTGCTCTGTGGAGAATAAATTTATATTGGAGACGAAAGATGAGCAGTACGAAACCCGGCGATCATGATAAATATTCATTGGGCAGGAAATTTCAAATCGAGGAGAATATTCGAAGTTTACAGGTGCGCTTTATTTACGGGATATCAACCCAACTTTATTTTTAGCTTGCAAAAAAGTTAGTTATCGCTTCACTGACCTACATTTTGTTCACTCTGGTAATTTTGGTCTTTTCCACGTTGCAAATTGTACCTCAATTGAATTTAATCTATGTCCATTATATGGATAATTGTATTCTACTGTAAGACATCATTTTTCGTTCAATATTTTTCCTAAATTTTGACATTTTCAGAGCCGCTTTTGTGATGAGTATCACTCTTCTTTTCTGCTCAAGATCCTGGCGAAGAAAGTTCAAAAATGACCTTCCATTCGTTCATAATTTTCTGAATACCAGAGTTTCTCAATCGAATCTTTTAATATTATTGTCTAACAAAGACTCTGAAACTTATTTTGAACAATTAAAACATGCTTGGGCTTGATACTTTGTTAATAAAATGGTTTTTTAAGGGACATTGGTTATCAAATCTTGTGAAAAGACTTATTGTTTTTGTTTCATATCTCGCAATTGAATTAATTTTCACTCATTTTTTCCTTCAATTTTTCGTTCATTTTAGTCAGTTTTTGTCTCATTCATATTCATCTTTAATTTATTTTTTCATACTTGCTAAATTCCGGCCCGGGTACCGAAGATTTCAAAATTTTTCTGTTGACTTTTGATACATTTTTTCAAAATATTCATTTTAAAGCACGAAATTTATCCCAATATCTTTTAAAAATATTAAAACAAAGAAATTTTTGTTAAAATGTTCCCAAAAATCCAGTTTCCTCTCAAAAAATGACTCTTAAAAATGTTTGCCTCAAGAACCCGGGCCAGCCGGGCCGGGCCGGACCGGGACAGTGAAAATCTCTCCACCGGCCCGGCCCGGCCCGCGACATGTATGATTTTTTAAATAGAAAAAAACCAGCAAAATATAGGTAGCGACCAAAAAATTTTTTTTCAAACTGGTTTTCCCTGAAATCTTTTGATTTTAAATTAATCCTCTCTTCCTAATTAGCATATTTCCAAACTTTCGTCCAAAAATATTCGCTCATTCCCGAGTTATAGATCATTTTGTGCTCCTCATTTTCTCCGCAATTGGGCGGGGCATCGCCGCCGCAAGGCTGCGGCGCGGAAAAATAGCGAATTTTTTCTCGAGCCATTTTCTGAGGAAATTTCGGTTTCAGACGGGTAAAGACAGAGAAAAACGTTTCGGAAAGTGTGGAAAAAGGGGTTTTGAATATTTTAATTGTGACACCTAACCTAATTTCACGAATTTTCGCCAGGAAAATGTTCGAACCCGGAAAAAAGTAGAAAATTTGCGGAATTACTGAGAGAAAGGCTAAAAATGAAATTATAGAGAAGAAATCGCCATCAGTGCATCGTAATGGTTCTGCTATCATTCAGAATACCTCATAAAATTCGAAAAAAAATTCCAAAAAAAATTCCAAAAACGGGGACTCAAACCCGCATGTCGCCGACCAGCAGACATCCAGCGTAACCAGTACACCAAACGCGAACTAGAACAGTCAGCTCATTGTTTTCTTATAATGCCGCCACGCGCGCGCACCTAGAAAAACATTTTTTTCGACGAATTTCGGGAAATTTTATGACAAAACTGCTTAGCATTTTTTGCGCTAACTCTCTGGAATATGTCACTGATATCATTTTATGTGAGATTTCTTGTATAATCTGAATATGTAAAGAACTCTTGCGTTACATCTCTATTCATGCTGAATTTGCGAAAACCCGAAAAATTCACTGAGTATGTGGTCTTGCGATGGAAAATAAATTACTTTCTAATGTTCCAGTTTTGTTCAAAACTTGTAAATGTAATGTTCAATAGTAGTTCAATAAAATTTTTTTAAAAAAATTTTTCACGTTATTTATAGGGTTATTGTCGGAATAAAAAAAGTGAGACTCGGTGTTTGCGTACTTTGATTCCCGCCTCCTCCATCGACGCTCCGCCCATCGTTTTGCAAGTGCGGCGTGGTGTTTTGGCGCTACTTGGGAGATCATCGGATCTAAAGATTTTCCCCATCCTGCACAAAGTTGAAAGGCGCATCCCTTTTTCCAGAAAAAATATCTCGCCACGCGATGTATTGAAATGCATTTACAGTTATGTCGCGAAATGCTTTGAAATACATTTCGCGACGCTTATGCATTGAATTTCGAGGGCGCGGAAATGCATTTCAATACATATTTTCGCTACATGAATAACCCCATTACAGCCAGTTTAGCTGAAATGCACAATTTTGCGCTAACTTTTCAGAAAATTTCGCTATGATTTTCCATTACAGAATGTCTTCAGTTACTCAAAACAAGAAAAAAGTTGAGCGTTACTAACTTCCACTTCTTTTACCATGCATTTTTCTGCCGCTCACTTTTGTTTTTTCTCTTTTTCTCTTTTCATGTTCAGTTTTCAGTGAAAACAGTTACATATTCGAATTCTACGTAGTCGATTACATAAGGAGACAAATTTTCCTATCAATCCTTCCCTTCTAACCATAGTTACAGCCAATCAAAAACCCCAAATCCGACCGCGTAGAAAAAAAAATTAGGCTCCGCCCCTTTTGCTGTGGTCGCTAAATATAGGCCAGCGCTGTGCGGCAACAAGTTGCCGATTGCCGAAATTGCCGAAATTGCCGAATTTTTGTTGCCGATTTGCCGTTGCCGAAATCGGCAATGAATAAAAAGTTGCCGAATTGCCGTTGCCGATTTTGGCAAAAAAATTTCTGCAATTTCGGCAACTGAAATTTTTTTGAATTTAGAGATTTTCACAATTTTTTTAGTTGAAAAAATGATTTCGAATTTCGAAAAATCAAATTTTGAACACCATCATCCCTCAGAGTGAATTTTTGAGAAAATGTGTCCCAATAATCATCAAAAATACTTGCATCGGATCACGGCCTCGCGGAAGGGAACCTAGATTTAAAAATTGGAAAGCGCGCCAAGTTTGGACGCGTAGCGCGGTCACGTCGCGGCTTTTCGGTGAGTAGCGACTCAACAACGCTTAACTTCACATTTTTTTCAAAACACGTTTCAAAATTTTCGAATCTGGCACGCAACCAACTTTTGTGTGCGGCGAAGCGCGCGTTTTTCAGGTTCCCAACCGCGATGCCGTGTCGGATCTAGAAATGAGCTTCATTTTTTGTGAGCATAGTGTAAGGGTCTGCAAGACCCTTATTACTCGGTTTCCCATGTAATCGGTTCTACTGTTTCTAGTCTGATTCCTTAGCGCCACGACGTGCCTTTCTCTCTGGACTTTGCCCCAAGAGTCATGAAATACCATTCTTAATTCCCGAATTCCAATGACGATTCCCATCGCCCCCACGGCTGCGGAAGCTCTAGGCAGCGGCTCTCCAAGATCTCCACCATCTCTTATTAAATTCCTCATTTTCCATTATCTATTTGTCAGCATTTCGGTAACCCCGCCCCAAATTCCATTTATTCCCCGTTTGTATATAAGCCCATTCATGTAACCCTAAAGTCACGATTACACCTTATTCTTCTGTACAGGGCACAAGTCGCCCTTTTCCCCTAAACCAAACCTAACATTAGAGAATAAACCTATTTCATATCCATGAACTCTTATTGGTAGCAGCGAGTGTAGTCTCCATAGGATGGCTGAGTAGTAGATCCACCACGTAGGTTTAGTCCTCTAGCCTTGATGCATTCTTAGATAGGGGTAAGAATAACCCATCTTTAGGAGGTTTATGTAAGTATTTTTGGGATAAGTTCCAGGTAAGACGCGCAGGTATTTGAGAATTTTTGAGAATTTCTAGGGAGGCAACTGGACCTCTGCAGTCCCTAATGAGTAACTAAGTATTGAGAAGTGAAGACGCGCCCTGTGAGTAGTGCGAGGTGAGCAAAGAGTGCCACCAGCGACCGGTCGTAGGCCAAGTGAGATAATTAGATTCAGGAGCGATTCAGGCGCATTTTTCGTTCATTTTACTTTTTTATTTGTACAGGTCCCATTTCTTGCCAAATTATCTATCGATTTCCCCCCATGCATTGCAAATAAATATATTATTATTATATTCTCTCGCTAATGACAATTTCTCACCTAGATTATACTGTCTATTCAATAAAACGTGGGCGCGCTGCAGGTTGCAAAGTGACACGCCCCTTTATGAAACGCGTGAGAAGAGG